CACACACACACACACACACACACACACACACACACACACACACACACACACGTTTTTTTTTTTGTTTGTTTGTTTTTTAAAGCTAAGCAAGTATCAAATCAGCTCCAGACTAATCTTGGTTTTCTGTGGCTCTCTTGCTTTCAAATGTACAGACAGTAGGTATTCAGCCCAGTGGAAGGGGCTTGTTCTTAAGTTCCTGTTTCTCGGTGGAGGCTGCCTTTGAAGCTAGGACACCTGGCCGCTTTTCCATTCTAGAGAAGATCTGGCCTCAGTTGTGCGAATGGGTTGAAATCAGGGGGCAGCTCAGCAGCCAGCCGCCCTGTGCGAAAACAGGGCCGGTTCCAGCTCATCTGAAATCAGACTTCAGCTCATTGCTCATTTCACTAGAAGGAAGTTTCCTGAATATTAGATCTACCCTACTCAAGTACAATTCCAGCACTGCCCTCTAAAAACCAGTTAGGTTTTTAAAACCATTCTAAAGTACATACTCCATCTCATAGTAAAAATAATCCATTTCAGGTTTTTGGCTTTTTGAGACAGGGTCTCATAGCTCAGGCTGGCTTTGAACTTACTATGTAGTTGAGAACTCCTGACCTTTTACCTCCCCCTCTCAAGTGCTACGACTGAATACTGAAAGAATAAAGAGTGAAAATACCTCACAGATGGTCTGAAAAGAAGATGAAGTCATGAAAGTACTTTGGAAATTAGAGAAGTCATTAATATGCGCTGTTCTTACCTCCAATTTCAGTTTTGAAGCCGATAATTTTAAAGTTTGCATACTGAGTCAGGGAAAAGGAAGTGAGAGACGAAAGATCTAGTAATGTTTGGGTAGGCTCCAGCCGGTGTCCTGGAGTGGACAGCACTTGGTTCGTCTTATTTTTATCATGTGCATTAGGATAAGGAGCAAAACAGAAGCCATTTGTTATTGTAATTCTAGAGACGGTAATCGGCTTGGTAAAGGATCTAGTGAGCTCAGGGTATGAGAAGGCAGTTGGTATGTGGCATTTACAGCTTTTTCTTCAGTAGCACATCTTGACTATTCTCTGCGAGATAAGATGTATATAACACGAAATTATTCAAGTACGGAAGTGCTTATTGTGGCAATTCTTTAATAATAGGAATGTTTTCTATAACTTACTGTCTCACAGATCAACAGGACAGCTTTTCAGTATAGCTAACAGATGGCTAGTGAGAGCCATACCCGTGGCTTGTGGTTCCACCCCGGGGGGAGAGGGGGGTTGGAAAATTATCTTGTGTTTGATTAGTTTATAATTTGGAAGCATCACTCTGAAGAAACAAAACTTAAGAGCACTTTTTTAAAAGTCAGATGTGAATACTTTGGGAATAAGCTTGAAGGCTGGGGAGGTGGCTCGGGTGGTGTTTGCCACAGACCTTTGGACCTGAGTGAGGGTTGCCAGCACCGTGTAAAAGCCAAGCAGGGGCCGATCTCTGGGGCGTTGTGGCCTGCCAGCCTAGGCTAATTGGTGAGGGACAGTCACAGTGAGATCGCATCTCAGAAAATAAGATGGTGAGGGACTGAAAAAGATACCCGATGTTGACCTCTAGCCTCGTATACACACCCACATGCACACACAGACGTGCGCGTGCGCGCACACGCAGGCTTCATCCAGAGTTCTTACAGATTTGAACAGAGTGTTTTGTCAGTAACGCACGGAAGTTCTCTGGGAGTGTTAGTTATCTCTATCCAGCTCCCTGAGCTCGCATTCATCTTCATTCTGATGTATGCATTTGCCCAACACAAGTTGATTTAAAAACTTAGTTTAAGCCGGGCGGTGGTGGCGCACGCCTTTAATCCCAGCACTCGGGAGGCAGAGCCAGGCGGATCTCTGTGAGTTCGAGGCCAGCCTGGGCTACCAAGTGAGTTCCAGGAGAGGCGCAAAGCTACACAGAGAAACCCTGTCTCGAAAAACCAAAAAAAAAAAAAAAAAAAAAAAAAAAAAAAAAAAAAACTTAGTTTAAGGGAGGGACATTTGGGGAGGTTTGGATGGAGAAAGAGAAAAGAAAAATGTTGGGATTATATTATAATCTCAAAAACAAAGCAAAACAACACAACAAAACCAGGTTTGGCAGTCCTGTTGGTGACGGGTTTAGAAGTTAAAACAGAAGTAAAGCGCCTCCCTTCCAAGCGGCCTGCAGACAGGCAGGCGGGGGCGCCAGTGTTTCTGGTCCTGGTAGCTGTTCTGAGCCAGCCTTTGGGAGTTAACTTATTTCCATTCATAAGTTGTTAGCTGTTATTTTCCTTTTGTTCATTTGAAAACTGTTCTTTATAATTTTAGAGCTTGTTTGAAGTGAGTGTGGTCTTTGCTCATCCAGAAACAGCTGAGGATTGCCACTTCCTGTAAGTTGCCCCGTAAAACAGTGTCAATTATGTAAGATGGTAGTACTTTTCTTTTTCATGAAGATAGTATTATTTTTCTTTCTCATGAATATTTAGAACTTGTCATGCCTTAGATTTAAATGTGACCTCTCATAGAAGATTCCTCATGGAAACTAATATAGTTCACAAATGTACACACACATATATAATATGTAAATTTAAGTATATAAAATGTATTTGAATTGTGTCAACCTAATATAAACTCATTAAACATTCTTCTTTTTTTGTTTGTTTGGTTTTTGTTTTTGTTTTTTTTTTAGACAGGGCCTCACTATTTAGCCCTGGCTGTCCTGGAACTCACTATATAGACCAGGCTGGCCTTGAACTCACAGAGATCCACTTGCTTCTGCCTCCCAGTTGTTGGGATTAAAGGCGTGCACCACCAACCATGCCCGGCTAAACTTTTATCTTAACTTGAATTTTATTTCAGAGGTGAAGTTTGCCCAGATTGTTTCAAACCAGCCAAAAACAAACAGGTAAGGATTTTTACTTCTTAAAATTACCAATAAAATAAATATGCATTGGATAAGATGTGATATGGTAACATGGATAATATGCATGTGATAAGAACTGGTCTTTAAATATTTCCATTTGGTTAATATACTTTTGTCTTATGTATTTATTTTATTCCTTTGGGTTTTCTGAGATAGCCTCACTCAGGATCACCTGGAACTCACTGTGTAAACCAGTTTGTCCTGGAACTTGTAGCCATCCAAGGGCCTCTTTGTAGGACTCCAGTCCTGCCACACATTGCCCAGCCTCGGGTGTTCTGTGACACCACGCAGCAGGGCTCCCTGACCCCGTAACCTTGCATCTTCTGTCCCTACAGAAACAGTACCATGTGGGTGTGCTGCCGCCAGCTCGGCTGCCAGCTCAGGACGGCCCACAGTCGTCTCAGCTTGTGTGCTGACCCTGGGCAAACGGCCGTTGGCAGCTCCTTCAAGGAGCTGAGTGCTGTTTCGATTAAGGTTTACCTCCTTCCGATGAATTAGGATCTTCACAAGATGGAACCTCCAGTGGAGGGGCTTTCCCTCAAGATACCTTTCCTGTTGGCGCAGTGCTGGGCAGGCGGCTTCTCTTGTCTCTTTAATAATCACAGCTGCTCTCTCAGCCCATTGTTCTGTCTTGAAATCTCCTCTGCTGAACTGCTTACTCCATTCCGTTTAAGTTCAACTGTACTGAAAGTCTTACATGGGAAGAATGAAGCCAGATTCTTGGCCAAGATGTGCCCTGAATGGCCCCTCTCCAGTTCCTGAGGGAAGTGTTGTTCCATTCTGACACCTCAGGAGCCAGCCCAGTGCCTCCTACATTTTCCTCAGCATTCTTGTTGTTTAAGCTTCCTTGAAAATGGATCATTGGTGATGCCCAGATCTCGGGGACCCCTGTGTAAAAGCAAAGAGCCTTAATTTTCAAACTCAGAGCTTTGACTCTGTCTGTCCGAGGCAGCGGTGAAAGAGAGAGCCCAGAGCCCAGGCAGGGTGGGAGGTTTTATCATAGCAGAGGTTGGGGTGGGGGATTTCCAGGGTTCAGGACTCTGATTGGCTGACATTTGTCTAGGGTATAGGGAATGTTTGGAATGTCAGGTATTTCCTCTTAGATGCCGGCCCCACTGGGTGGGGTCAGTTTATGACTTTTCCTGGGTCTAGGTGTTGCCTGTCAGAAGCTGTGTCTGGGCCTCTAAGCCTGTCATGGCAGCTGTGTGGTCAAGCTGTTTTGGTCCCTTCCAACATCATTAAGCTCTGCTTAGAGCATTCAAGAGCTTCTCTAACCCGAAGTCCAAACTCTTCCACATTCTTCCCACAAATCAGTGCCAAAGGCTTAAGAACTACATGATCAGGTTCATCACACAACAGTGGCTGAAGCATATCTAATTATCCTTTATCAATAAAAACTTGGAGTCAGATATTTGGGGTAAGAACCTGAATGATCAGAGAAGCAGCAGAGAAGTGACCAGTGACCTCCTCGCGCTCTCCCTCCTCAATCTAAAAGGGCCAACAATCTTTCTAAGCCCCACCCTACTACTTCCTGTGTCTCTCTATATGTCCTTGGTCCTCCAAAACCTCTATGGCTAATTTTGGTCAGCTAGTAGCTAGCTCCACCCTCTCATTCAAATCAAACTTTATTGACAGTATCGGGAGTGTCAAAGTGTGATCAAAACATCCCACAAGTGGCCCTAATACTGCCTTAGTTATTTTTCCTATTGCTGTGGTAAAATACTTTGACAAAAGATTTTGGTGCACAGTACTGAACAAAATGGAGAAAGTGAGCTGGACACAAATAACCATTTCTCCTTTCTTCCTGGTGCCGTGATCTGCCGGGGCTGTTTTTATTAAGGACATAGAGAGAAGAAAGGGCCTTGAGAGGCCTGCCAGAAACAGACCAACATGAGCATTTAAGTTTGACTTACGTTCTTGGGACTATGAAGTATTTCTTGATTTTAAATATGTAGGGTGATATAATTCCTCAGATTATTTGTGTTTCAGCTCTTGTCTAGATAAAATGTCTTTTCGTTTCACCCTATATAGTCAGTGTTCACCAGAATGGCGGTTTTGAAAGCTTTGAATAAGATAAAAGAAGACAATTTCCTCGAGTAAGTATAGAAATAAGAAAGTGTTGTATAACTTTAGAAACAATGGGAATACTGTAGGCACTCTGGATTACCTCAGACAAGCCTGGCTATCACCCGGGCTGTGCACGTCTTAGTCCTCCTCATGGCCCATGAGGACCTGATGTGTGGCAGTACTCAGTAAATGTTTATCAGATTAACAGTGTGAGTCAAGTCTGACCTCCTCATCTTACTGAAGAGGAGGCCAGAGTGTGACTCGGTGCTCAGTACCTACCTGGCAGAGTTGAGGCCTGAGTTCAGTCACTGGGACCAAAGCCTAAGCCTTTGAATTTGAGAGGATATTGATTTCCAAAAAAGGAGTTGCCTCGCCTGGGTTTTCAGCTGAGTAATTTAGTGGCCCATGGGCTGAGAGCTGTTCCTGTTACTTCCCAAATCTGGTACTTTCTAGTGTGGCCATCTCTAAAAGAGGAGAGGAAGCTCAGGAGTGTCCTCGCTCGCCCAGAAAGAGCACTGGCCGGAGAGTTAGGACTTCTTCTAACTTCTTCTTTGGGCATCAGTGCCCATTTCTAAAATATAAATTGTCAAAATATGTAGAAATACAATAAATTTTATATTTTAATTATCAGTATTTTTTTTAAAAAAACCTAATTATTGTAATTTTCCTTCTAGAAGATCCTTGAATAGATATCAAGCAATGACATCATGATGAGGGTTTCTTATCATTTATGAACTAAAAAAAATGAGTCTCAGGATGAAAATATTTTCATTAAACTTTAAAGAGTAAAGAGTACTTTATCTAGGGGCTGGAGAGATGGATCAGGTCCAGTTCTGGCACCCAGGCAGCTGCTCACAGCCGTCTAGAACCCTAGTCCAGGGGATCTGACACCCTCTTCTGGCCTCTGCAGACACTAGGCAGGCTCATGATGCACAGACAAAACATTCATACACATAAAGTTAAAAAGAATACTTTATATAAATACCAGTTCTTGGGTTTCAAAATGATTTTATTTTTAAAGAATCTTAGGAAATTATAGAAAAATTCCAAGCCACCTGTTTGGGGTTAAATCAGAATTTAATTGTTTACAGGTAGCCTCCAGTTCATGGCTTTGGAAATTCCTACATGAAGGACAGAGGGGAAGTTGTTCCTCCCTGTCCCTGTCCTCAGATTGAAGTCCATTAGCTAAGAGAATGGCATCCCAACTTCACACTTTTCTCTGGCTCCATGTCATAGTAGAAATGAGAAGGAAGAAAGGGCGACACAACAGTAGTGGAGGACTCCCCACAGGTAGGGCAGGTCCCCACAAGTGGGAGCAGTTACCCACGACAGAACAGCTTTACCCCATCAGTTAAGGCTCATGCAAGGCAGCAGCATGTGACCACAGAGGAAAATGGCCGGCGAGCCTGGAGGGGCTTCTGCTTTGTATACGTGGGTTTTTCCCTACATCTGAAGACTGTTAGAAATTATCTCTGGGGAAGATAAGGTCTCCTGACTGAAGAGCAGCATCAAAGCCCCAATTTACTTAGTGCCACTGCTATGTGTTACAAGTGGTTCTCCGGGGCTGGAGTATCGGTTCACTGGTTAAAAATCACTTGTTGCAAAGGACCTAGGTTTGATTCCCAGCACCCATATGGCGGTTTGTTGCCTTCTTGGGCACCAGGCACACATCTGGTGCACAGATGTACATGCAGGCAAAATAGTTATACACATAATAAAAATAAATCTTTGTTTGATTTTGCTTGTTTGGTTTTTGAGACAGGGTTTCTCTGTGTAGCCCTGGCTGTCCTGGAACTCGCTGTTTAGACCAGGCTGGCCTCGAACTCACAGAGATCTGCCTGTCTCTGCCTCCTGGGTGCTGGGATTAAAGAGGTGTACCACACTTCCCTGCATAATAAAATAAATCTTAGAGGGAGGAAGGGGGAGGGGAGAGAGGGGGGAGGGATGGTACTTTACAGCTGATATGGTAGCTTATGCCTGTAATCCGAGACCTCAGGAGGCTGAGGCAAATGGATTGTGGCCAGACTTCAACATAGTGAGTTCCAGACCAACTTGGGATACAGGGTGAGACCCTATCTCAAAATAATCAGAACATAGGGACTGGAAGATGACTCAGTGATTAAGAGCATTGGCTGCTCTTTCAGAGGACCTAGGATCAATTCCCAAAATATCCATACACATAAAATAAAAATAAGTAAACCTTTAAAACAAAACAGTAATGTAACATGAATCTTAAAAGGTCTTATTAATAGAAACAAACCTGGAGCCAGGTATTGGGGTGTACACTGAAAGATCAGAGAAACAGAACAAGCCACAACTAACCTCATCTCGCCAACTTCTCAGCTGATCTTGTTTCCTCAAACTGGAAACCTCTGTGTCCTCATCCAAATGGATCTCAGCTGAACTGCTGCTAGAAGCCTAAAAGCTTAACATGCTCTAGTTCCCGGTCCTCACGCCTTATAAACCTTTCTGCTTTCTGCTATCACTTCCTGGGATTAAAAGCGTGTGTCACCATGCCTGACTGTTTCCAGTGTGGCTTTGAACTCACAGAGTTCCAGATGGATCTCTGCCTCCCAAGTGGATAGGATTAAAGGTGTGAGTGCCACCATTTTCTGTCCTCTATGTCTGTCTAGTGGTTGTTCTGTTCTCTGACACCAGATAAATTTATTAGGGTGCACAATATATTGGGGGACACACTGTCACCACACAGTAAAATTTGAAAAGTGGTAAAAGCCTGAAGAATCCTTTTTGCTTTAAAACTTGAAAGGTGGAGAGAGGTATAGTCCTTGGGGCTCAGGTTCTGAGTTGCTTGGACAGTGCTGACTCATCTGTTCTATGACGCATGTCTCAAATATTAGTGTCCATCAAGTGTATTTTGTTTTGCAGGCAATTCCCTTGTCCTCCAAACTCACCAAAGACCGTGTGCACTGTCCTTGGAATTGAGTGTACTCATGGTGCTGTTTTTGTTGCTGGTAACTATCTCATCTATAGATGCCCTGTCAGCCCCTTCCTGATGGTGTCCGCTGCTCTTCCTCTTGTTCCTACTGAGGGCCAGATGCAGAGAAAACCAGGCAGACCCAGAGTGTCCAGTAACCTGAAACAGACTTCCAAGAGCTAGTGTTCCTATACTCTCCTTGACTAAACACTTGGCTTTATGGAGAGAGAGAGAGAGAGAGAGAGAGAGAGAGACAATGTTGTATCGACTTTCCCAATTGCTATATGACAGGCAGGGTTTTGTTTTGTTTTAAAAGTTACAGTTGCTTCCTAGTGAAAGCTTGAAGGAAATTGCTCTGAATCTTGCCGCCTCCTCAGCCGTGACAGCAGCTCTCTTGTGGTGACTATTCATAAGGCAGTGAGTGAGTCACAATGTGTTAGGGAGTTTCTTGGTTTTTTTAGCTTACTGATTCTTAAACTTTTCACAAATTTAATTTTCTGTAATACATCATCACCAATGTTTATTATATTTGAATTATTATTAGTTATCTGTAGAAACAAGTTTTTTTATGATTGTTGTTATGTTCCACAATATCATGTAACTCTTCCAGTGGTCAAATGATTAATCATTTCACTCACTTGACGCACTGTCTCTGTCTCTAAGGGATCTATTCTGTTGTTGCTTTAAATCTTATTTAATTATCTCCATGTCTGTGTTATGGCTTCCCAAGTTAGACTGTTTCTTAGTTAAAGGCTAGGCCTCATTTTATATCCTAGCATGTAGAGTATCAAATTTACTAGTCACTTCCCTTTTTATCCTAATACATTGATCACAGCATTCAATCCAACTACCTGATATTTCTTTGGCAGGCAGATACAATAAATACTCCAGGAATCTACCACAAACTCCTTGGATAATTGATGGAGAAAGGAAAATGGAATCTTCGGTAGAAGAATTAATTTCAGATCATCTCTTGGCAGTATTCAAAGCAGAGAGTAAGTGTTATGGTGTTCATGTTTTCCGTACATTGTTATTCCCTTGGTGGCTCCAGGAAAGACTCCTCTGTTTAGTCACTCACCCAGCCTGGACTCCGGGCTTCCCTAGAACAGGTGCTGTTGATATGCAGGCTCTGAGGTTCAGGCTAGATTTTAGTCCGGATATTCAAGAGTGTCTGTCCTTTCTCAGTGACTGCTCTCTCCTGGGAAACTCAGAAGCACCGAGTCTGCTTTAGACGAATGCATTGAGTGTGAAGAAGTTCCGATTTTATGTCCAGTGCTTGTTCAGGAGTCGTCAGCTGCCTGCTGCCCTAACCTACGGGGTGATTTGGGAGGAAGTTCATGACTAGAGAAAATAGATCAAGAGCAGCCATTTTTCAGAGGTTTTTATGGAGGGTATTGTGTTTTAATTTCCTATCAATGAGCCATATCTGTGGGATGAGTCAGGTCTGGGAAGGCTTGTTTTCCTTGTCTCAACAGGCCTGGAAGTCAAAGGCAGCTTATAGTCTGTGGTTTGTGTGGAGTATAGAAGAAGAAAAGGTGTACGCCTTGTATTGTAAAGAAAAACTGCAGGCAGTGGGCAATGGCCATCTTTGGAGTGGGCCTTCTAGCCCCACAGAGGTCTTTCGTGGCCCAGCGAGGCACCTTTCTCCCTGGGAAACCCTGAGGGACGTCTGTAAAGTCAAGCAGCCGTCTAGATAAGCGGTGCTGTCCTCCTGATGTCAGGAGGACAGAGAGGCACCAACCACCTCTCCTTCACGAGTTGGGTAGAGGCTGCATGGTGAGCGCCCTTTATTATTTATCTTACTATTTTTACTCGTGTGGTGTTGGGACTTGCGCATGCCTGCAGGCCTCCTCGGATCCCCTGGATCTGGAGTTTAGAGGGTTGTGAGCTGGGCCATGTGAGTGCAAGAGCATTGCACTCTCAACTGCAGACCCCTCTGTCCAGGAATGCCCCCTGTGCACCCCACAGGTGCACACACACATACACATACGTTATATGTGTATATATGTATGTGTGTATATGTATATGTGTATATGTATATGTGTATATATGCATATGTGTGTATGTAGGGGGTGCACATGGGGTGCACGTGTGGGGGTGCACGTGTGGGGGTGCACATGTTTGGTGCACATGTGGGGGTACACATGGGGTGCATGTGTGGGGTACACGTGTTGGGGTGCACATGTGGGTGCACGTGTGGTGTGCCCGTGTGGATGTGCCCATGTGGGTGTGCACGTGTGGGTGCACGTGTGGGCACATGTGGGGGTGCACGTGTGGGTGCATTGGAGCCTGGAGGCCAGTGCTGGTGTCATCCTCAGCTGCTTCCACCTCACTCTGTGGACAAGGCCCACTGAACCTGGGGCTCACAAGCTGGTTAGACTGGCTAGCCAGGGGCGCCAGGGACCTGCTTATATTCACCATACCCATCAAGTTACAGATGCACGCCGCCACACTTCGCTTCCCTTTTTTAAAGATTTTTATTTTTTTAAACTGTGTAATATGTGTGTTTGTATATGTGTATGTATGTATGTGTGTATATGTATATGTGTGTATGTATATGTGTGTATATGTATGTATGTGTGTATATGTATATGTGTGTATGTATATGTGTATATGTGCGTGTATGTATATGTGTGTATGTGTGTATATGTATGTATGTGTGTATATGTGTGTATGTGTGTGTGTATATGTATATGTATGTATGTGTGTGTGCATATGTGTGTATGTGTGTGTATATGTATGTGTGTGTGTATGTATATGTGTGTGGGGGTGCATGTGAGTGCTGTGCTTAGGGGGGATAAGAGCATTGTGTCCCCCAGGAGCTGGAGTTCTGGGTATTTGTGAGCTACCTGATGTTCAAGAGCAGCAAGTACTCTTGCTGTGGAGCCATCCCTCTAGCTAGGCTAACTGGTGCTAACACGGGAGCTGGTCTGTGAACTTGGCTCCTGGTGCTAACACGGGAGCTGGTCTGTGAACTTGGCTCCTGGTGTTAACACAGGTGCTGGTCTGTGAACTTGGCTGCTCGTGCTTATACATGAGACAAGCGACTCAGCTGTTTCCTTAGCTGCCATGAATTATTTTCTGAACAGAGAAGAAAAATAACCTAGAAGCCTAATATTTCCAGATTTTTAGGAAAAAGACTTTGAGGCATTTCACCTACTTAATATTTGCAAACTGCTGTCATTTACTGAAGACTTGAAAATAAGCTCCACTTAAAAGCCTCTCTTGGGCTGAAGATGTCATTCACCATGCACTGGGCTCTGGCTTTGCTTCTCAGCACTGCACCAAAAAGAAAAAAGAAAAGACGCTTTGCTCGATTTTGGGGTGTGTGTGTGTGTGGCTGCCTCACTTCCTTTCTGTGGGAATTCAGGTGTCTTCAGTTCGGACTATTTAGGTCTCAAGACCCTGGCTTCTTCAGGGCTCAGGGACTGCTAGTGGCAGTTTTTCATGTGTTCATGAAGCTATTTATGGTCCTTCCTCTTGAAGGGAGAGTACTGTCCTCCAACTGAAAGTGACAAGTTGTGAGGCTGAGGATGTAGCTCAGTTGCCCTGGGATCAATTCCCAGCACCATTAAGTTAGGCATGGCGGCATAGGCCTAGGATCCTGGGACTTGGAAGGTAAAGACCGGAGACCCACAAGTTTAAGATCATCCTTACTATAAGGTGGTTTGAGACCAGTCTGGGCTCCTGAAACTCTGTCTCCAAACAAACAAACAAACGACAAAGACACAGGCCAGGCGATGATGACGTAGGCCTTTCATCCCAACACAGAGGTGGTCTGATCTCTGAGTTCTAGGACAGCCTAGTCTACATATCGAGTTCCAGTCCCGCCAGGGCTACACAGCGAGACCCTATCTCAAAACAACAACAAAAACCCCCAAACAAGAAACAAAAGCAGATTGCGTGTTCATAGAGAAACTGATTGAGAGCTTACTGAAAAACAATAGTCTGCTGGACCTGGGTGCTCACTGCTCCTGTGTGCAGGGTGGGTGGTATAGTCTTCTGGACCTGAGTGCTCACTGCTCCTGTGTGCGGGGTGGGTGGTATAGTCTTCTGGACCTGAGTGCTCACTGCTCCTGTGTGCGGGGTGGGTGGTATAGTCTTCTGGACCTGAGTGCTCACTGCTCCTGTGTGTGGGGTGGGTGGTATAATCTTCTGGACCTGAGTGCTCACTGCTCCTGTGTGTGGGGTGGGTGGTATAGTCTTCTGGACCTGGGTGCTCACTGCTCCTGTGTGTGGGGTGGGTGGTATAGTCTTCTGCACCTGGGTGCTCACTGCTCCTGTGTGTGGGGTGGGTGGTATAGTCTTCTGGACCTGAGTGCTCACTGCTCCTGTGTGCGGGGTGGTTGGTATAGTCTTCTGCACCTGGGTGCTCACTGCTCCTGTGTGCGGGGTGGGTGGTATAGTCTTCTGGACCTGGGTGCTCACTGCTCCTGTGTGCGGGGTGGGTGGTATAGTCTTCTGCACCTGGGTGCTCACTGCTCCTGTGTGTGGGGTGGGTGGTATAGTCTTCTGGACCTGGGTGCTCACTGCTCCTGTGTGTGGGGTGGGTGGTATAGTCTTCTGGACCTGGGTGCTCACTGCTCCTGTGTGCGGGGTGGGTGGTATAGTCTTCTGGACCTGAGTGCTCACTGCTCCTGTGTGCGGGGTGGGTGGTATAGTCTTCTGGACCTGGGTGCTCACTGCTCCTGTGTGTGGGGTGGGTGGTATAGTCTTCTGCACCTGGGTGCTCACTGCTCCTGTGTGCGGGGTGGGTGGTATAGTCTTCTGGACCTGGGTGCTCACTGCTCCTGTGTGTGGGGTGGGTGGTATAGTCTTCTGCACCTGAGTGCTCACTGCTCCTGTGTGTGGGGTGGGTGGTATAGTCTTCTGGACCTGGGTGCTCACTGCTCCTGTGTGCGGGGTGGGTGGTATAGTCTTCTGCACCTGGGTGCTCACTGCTCCTGTGTGCGGGGTGGGTGGTATAGTCTTCTGGACCTGGGTGCTCACTGCTCCTGTGTGTGGGGTGGGTGGTATAGTCTTCTGCACCTGGGTGCTCACTGCTCCTGTGTGCGGGGTGGGTGGTATAAGCTTGTTCAGAGTTCCTGACTGATAACAGCATTTGTCCACCATGCTTCTCAGCTGGGTGACTGTTATTTCTGTCAGCGGTTCATATTTGCAGACTCTGGGGAGATGAGTTTAGCAGTTGCCTCCTTAAGGTTGACAACTGTATGGAATAAACAATAGCTGGGTGAGCAGCTCTGTTTCATGATAGCCACTCTGTCCCTAAGGAGGACATACAAACTTGTCTCTCCTTGCTTTAATGGCACATCCTGTTATGTACTTGCTAATCCTGTAGTTAATGAGTATTAAGTATTGATACACTCAAAATCAATGAGTCTAGGAAATTTTCCCCTAATACTACATTTACTACTTTATTTACTGACTAAAATGTTTGTTGGGTCAGTTCCCTGTGGGCATGATGAGTTACAATGTAAAGTCCAAGCTATGTGTCTTGGTATTCTGGGACCTTCAGTCAGCTGGCACCTGCCTGGGGTCTGAGAGCCGCTGAGTAGCCGAGCTGCCTACTGGTCCAGATAATCACTGCTCTTCATTGGTTTTTGGCATGTCCTTCCCTTCGAGGAAATGCTTAAAACCCGGGACTTAGGGCATAAGGCCAGGCACAGTTGAGATTCAGAAAAGTAAGTTTTAAGTATATATTCTCTAGTACTAAAGACTTCCAGCTAGTTCTCATTATACACTTTATAAAGTTTTAAGGGTTTTCCCCTATAAATGATTTCTATTCTAAGTTCCAAAGTGTTTTCTTAGTTTCAAGTTGGAAAACATTTCTAAACGGGAGCTGGTGACATGGCTCAGTGGCTGAAGGCGTTTGCTGCTAAGATCCATGGCATGAGTTTGATCCCCAGGTCCTCCGCATGTGCACCATGGCACACGCCTGTACTCACAGACCATCACACACACATACACATGTAACACCGTGGTAAGAAATAGAATAAAGGTTCAAAACTAGAATTGTGCTCACAGTGCAGGAATGTCCTTATGTTTGTTTCCTGACATGTGTCTACATGTCACATTAAACTCTCTGATTCTCCATAAAGGGTGACTCTGAGGATGAGGACCTTGTCCACCTTGTTTCCTGTGTCTCTCTAATGTCACTCAACGTGCATTGCCCCAGCAGACATCCTGAGTGAACACACTAGTGCTTTGTGAACCAGAACCCTCCTGCCCCTTCCTCTTTGTCAGAGACCTTAAATGTCATCGTTGTACAGACTACTCAGGGTTCCCAGAGCCTCCCAGCCCTTCTCAGCCCTGACCTCTGCTTATGTCTTGGTGGTCCAGTGTAACCTGGTGGTTAATTGATTCTGGTGTCAGAATGCCTGACCCACTACCCGTGGGTGGCTACCAGAACTGCATTTCTTCATCCGATGTGACTGTTGGCAATGGATTCATCCTGCCTGTCTCACCTTCTTTAGAAGGAAAACGAAAATGTGCCAGTGGCATCTGTTTTAAAGCACTTGGAGTAATGCCTGCTCAAGTGTTTGCTGTGGTGACAGAGTCTTCCATTTGATCTGTATCTATGAGCATTATTATGTAGATCCTTAAAACTACTTTCCCTGTCTGACATTCTCAGCTCTTGGTCTGTGGTGATAAATTCGTCTTGGTTTGTCCAGTGGTTTTCACATGGCTCCATGTTGGGTTTGGTTGTATACTCAACTTGCTATTTAAAGGTCAGAACTTTCTTCTCTCACTTTTTTCCCCATAGAGTTTAATTTTAACATGATTGCTCTTGTTGTGATGCTTGCTTTAAGAAAAAAGACAAAGTTTTTGCCGCAAGCCAGAGGCCAAGGAGGTGGGGCCTTTCCTTAGCCTTGCCTTTCTATGAGATGGGGATATAGATGCTAGTTAAACTCTGGCTTTGATGTCAGAAAGATATAGCTCTGCCACTGGATTGTTTAATATTACCTAAATCTGTGAAGCATAATGTTCATTTATTTAATGCTTCATCAAGTTATGATAAGGATTAAATGATGTGTGTATAATTTTACCCCAGTACCTATAATGAGTAGTATTTATTATTATCATCACTGTTTTTAGCCAAGATTGAGATTAGAGATGGGGTGATTCATTATTGCTTGAGGTCCTCTCCCATGGATTGCTGGGACCACAAGTCCTTCAGTGGATTTCTGTCAGCGGTTGGAACAAAGTATACTAGAGTCTCTCATCCTTTCCTCTCCTTGTTCTGCTTCTTACAGGTTTTAATTTCTCATCCTCTGGAAGAGAAGATGTAGATGTGAGAACTTTAGGAAATGGTAAGATGGCCTCAGTACCACCTGATGAGAACTGGCTGCTGATAATCACCTGTGAGGCAGTAGCTTTCTGTAGTCACTTAGAACTACAGTGGGAGGACCCAGGCTCCTCCAGATGGGGAGCATGTGGCTTGTGCGGCTACCTCTGTAGACTATGATTTGTGTCTGAACAGCAGTCATTTCTTCAGAGACGTTCTTACCACAGGCTGTAATCTGTAATGGACTTCATGTGCATTAAGAAGAAAAAGGTTTTCCCTCAAAGTTTATTAGTTACTCCATTTAAGAACTTTTCAGGCCAGTTGGTTGTGGCCCATGCCTCTGGAGGCAGAAGCAGGTGAGTTCAAGGCCAGCCTGGTCTACATAGTGAGTTCCAGGACAGTCAGGACTATGTAGAGACCCTATGTCAAAAAACAAACAAAGAATATCTCAGAAGTTACCAGTTTTCAATATGTCTATCTTTATTTGAAAATGATTCTACTCTTTTAGCCTTCATTTCTCTCTCTTGTTTTATCTTGTTGAGTTATAAGAAAGATAATGAGAATTAATTTTGAACTGTTTGATGTTTGTAGTGCCTTCCCCTTGTGGAATCACGGTTGTTCCATGTCACTAGTAGATTAACTGGGAGAATGGATCTCACCTTGTTGTATCTGGGCTTTGCTCTCTATGACAATGTTAGTTCCATTAGTGTAACCAACTTAATTAGTGGTTATTTAAATTTTATTTTGTAATTAACCCAGGCTTGTGTGCGGCCCTCTGGGAAGGCAGTCATTTTCACACCAGCCTTCCTGCCCCACCCCCGAAAGCCCCTTTGCTCTTCACACTTTCTCCCCTCCCCCAGATGTAGTCATGCCACTGAACCTTCAGGCCTCTAGTGCACAGCCTGTTCTCACACCTCCTGCCTCTGCCCCAATGTTAACTCCATCGACACATTTCTGTTTCATGATGGGCGTGCACTTCCAGGAAGGCCCTTCGCAGTGGAGCTGCTCAACCCTCATAGAGTGCATTTCACTTCACAAGAAGTCAGGGAGCTCCAGCAGGTAAACACTTGTGTGGACGCATCTTGTTTGTGCAACCCCGTGACTGAGCTAGAGTTGATAATTGTTTTTCTTTCTCTGCTGCCACAGAAGATTAATAAGTCATCTGACAAAATCCAAGTACGTGACTTGCAGCTTGTCACCAGGTGAGGATGGGCATGCTGGAGAGATTCTAAAGGGACGTTTTTGTAGCTCATATATTGGGTAAGGGGATTGCACACAGAGTATGTTAAGAAAAAAAATCCAACTCCAATTAAGAAATGGGAAAATGATTAAGTAGACATTTCTCCAGGAAGGATGTGTGAGTAGTCAACGAACGTGAAATGATACCCAGCGTCTTACACTAGGGCTGTGCAGGTCAGAGCTGCAGTGAGCTAAGGCTCACTTACACCCCCGAGGAAGGCTATCATTGAAAAAATAAAATAAAATAACAGATGCTGGCGAGGGCATAGAGAAGCTGCCATGCGCATTGCTAATGGGGTTGAAAGTGGGGCCACTCTGAATGGCATGTTGACAGTCTGTCAAAAATTCAAACGTAAGGTGACCATATGACCTAGCAGTTCCCCTTCTAGGTATCACATCAATGACAGAAGTGAAAACATACGTCACCCAAAGATCACCAGAGATGTTCATAGTAGTGTTTTCACAAAGCAGAGAAGAAGCCACCAGTAGCACGGGCCTATAATTTCTAACTGGAGGCCAAGGCAGGAAGGTTGGAATTCAGGGCTTTCCTTGGCCAAATAGTGAATTGCAGGCCAGCCTGGATTGCATAAAACAATTATGTTTTTTTAAAAAAAGTAGATACCACTTATCTATCTATAGAAAAACACAAAGTGAAATTGTTGTCTCTTCTTATCCTTGGAAGATGTGTTCCAGGACTTGCTGTGGGCACCCAAGACTGCAGATAATACTGAATTCTATAAATAGTATGCTTTTCTTGTATATAATTGATGAAAAAGATTGACTAAAAAACTGAGAACCAGTCAGGACCAGAGAGAGCACTGGATGTTCTTGCAGAGGACCTGGGTTCAGTCCCAGCTCACATGCACATGGTGACTCACAACCTGTAACTCCCACTCCGGGGGAGCTGATTCCCTTTTCTGGCCTCCAAGGACACCAGGCTCTCATGTGACATACATACCTACATGCAAGCACTCACATATACACATAAAATAAAAATAAATCTTTTTTAAAAAGCCATGAAAAAATAATTGCTAATAATAAAACATGGCAATTGTAGCAATATACTATAAGGTAAGCATCAATTGCCTGCTTTTAAGTTTTTGTATGTAATACTTTTAGTAGGAGGTTGACAGCAGGCAAAGTGAATTTATGGGTAAGGGGGACCTACTACGTACCCCTCCAATGTAATATGGTTTGTTTGTTTGTTTGCTTTGTTTTTCTTTAAAAATGAAGAAGTATGGAGTACTGATTCATACTGCACCATCAATGCCCTTGACCTTGACAGCATTGTGAAGGACAGAAGCCAGTCAGTCACCACTGGGTGATCGTACCTAGTAGGTAGAAAGTCAAGTAGTGCTAGGTCATCCTGGGCTTGGGAAAGGAATAGGAAGAAAGTGCTGCTGGGTGTGGAGGGTCCTCCTGGAGCAGTCGGAGTTAGACTGTGCTAGATGCAAAGCTCCAGGAACAGGAGAGTTCATAGAACGTACCGTTTAACCGGGGAAACGTGCAGTTATACCTCAGCCAAGCTGTGTAAGGGAGCAGAGATTCGGGACAAGGTTTGTGTGTATTTTATGTCCTGGGACAAACTTTCCTTTGTTATTGGTGTTTAGAGAGGCAATCGGGTATATGAAGGAAGGTGAGGAGGGTAAGACCAAGACCTACAGTGCCTTGATTTGGACGAATAAAGTCATACAGAAGAAAGACATTGGATTCCTAAATGACCTAAAGGTACTTTACCTGCAGTTTTTGATTTGTTTTCTTTTGCTTCTAGTCTATTACCAGCAAGCCATAGTGCGTAGGCTTTGGGGTCTGTGTGACCTACCTTCAAATCCTGGCTTTCCAGTTCACTGGCAGAGTGATCAGATGCTTGTCTAACTCTTGGGAGAAGCAGTGTTTCGATGGGTGGCGGTGGTGGTGCACACCTTTAATCCCAGCACCCGGGAGGCAGAGGAGGTGGATCTCTGAGTTCAAGGTCAGCCTGGTCTACAGAGTGAGTTCCAGAATAGCCAGGGCTACACAGAGAAACCCTGTCTCAAAAATCAAAAAAGGAAAAAAAAAAGAAAGAAAGAAAGGAAAAAAAGAAGAATCTGTGTTGCTGACTCTGAAGACAGACTCACAGGTTAAACCCTGGGTCTACATTTTGTAGTTGTATGACTCTGGACAAATCCTTAGTTTAGCCTGTATGCTTCATCTATGAAATTATGTTAGAAAAACTAAATTAGTTCAATTGTACAAAGCATTTCAAATGGTACCAACCACATAGAAAATATTGAGGAGTCCTATTATATTTGGTTATCTATAAAAATTAAATATAAAATAAAATGTATTTAATAGAATTGATACTAAAATTACATATATGAGTGAATAAAGTGTAACAGTTATGTGAAGCACATGTATTTTGTGAGAATGTCACTGTAAAGGACCTGCTTGTCCTGTGGAACAGCTCTTGTCTCTCCTGTAAAGACAGTCACAGTGGGTAAGAGCTCTCCATGCAAGAATGAGGACCTGAGTACTCCAAAGTTTTCTCTGGTCCACCCGGCCCCGAGGTCCCTCATAAAACAACCACTCAGAGGCTTGATACTATTACAAACTGTGTGGCCGTAGCAGGCCTCTTGCTAGGTAGCTCTTATATCTTAAATTAACCCATTTCTATTAATCTGTGTTTCGCCACGTATTCCGTGGCTTTACCAGTCTGCTGGCATGTTGCTCCCTGGGCAGCAGGCTGGCATCTCTCCAGACTCTGCCTATCTCTCTCCTGTCTCTCTCCTTGGATTTCCTATGACCTTGCCATAGGCCAAAACAGCTTATTTATTAACCAATGGGAACAACATATTCACAGCATAGATATATATATATATTATTGAAGCATTTTACTATCTGTGTGGCATTTACTTTTCTTTTTTAGTGCTTTTTTTTATTTTAGGTGTCTCTGTCTGCACATATGCCTTCATTCCAGGAGAGGGCATCAGATCCTATTATAGATGGTTGTGAACCACCGTGTGGTTGCTGGGAATTGATCTCAGGACCTCTGGAAGAGCAGCCAGTGTTCTTAACCACTGAGCCATCTCTCCAGCCCGGTTTTAGCTTTACTATAGTAAAATTATATATAACGAACAGTTATCAAGCAAGAATTACAATTACAGTATCTAGTCTATTTGTATTTGGCAAAATTAAAAAAAATTTTATCAACTATTCTATATTTGTGAGTCTAAAGTTTCATATCTAATTTATCTTGTATCATAACCAAGGAAAATTATAACTATCTAGTCTTCAACTACATCAAAGACACCAGAAGGATATAATATTACCTAAGAAAACAGGAAGTGCTTTGTAATCAACTTCTAAAATTTTGGAAATGACAGAGACAGCTGGCTGCCTGGACAGTCACACAAAGTTCCTCTGCAATGTTGGGGCATCCATCTTCAGCCTATAGGTCTAGAGTTTCTCAATTGCTCCTCCCTGTGTCCTGTAAAATGTCTGGCAGCCTCCTCTGCAAAGCAGGAACATCTTGCCTTGTTTTGGCAAAATTTAGTGGTCACTTTTCCATGGGTCCTGCATGTCCAGTTACAACATTTTGTCAAGCAGTCCAGGCAAGAACAGTTTCTTGCCCAAATGGCTACTTTTGCCATAAGGAAAGCAAACTCCATATGGTATTTCTTCGATGCCCATCATCCTATTTGAAGTAAATTGGTGCTGCCAGGAGCAGACATGTCTCACTGTCCAGAAAGTCTGTTTTTAAAACATTTTAAATGCCATATTCTGTAGGTTTTTGAAGTGTTTGAAAATTACCTACCTAATTGAAATATATTTATGTATACCTAGAAAACTTAATTAACATGACTATAAGTTTGATAATCCTAGATGACTTTAATCTGTATTTTTTAGTTATACATTACAATTTTAAATGAGTTGCATAAACACAATACCTTAAACAAAAAATATATATAGTATAACAAAATTAATTTTAAATTTGTATAAATAAACTAAAATCCATAGCAATATAAAACATTTTAAACAAGTTGTTGCTCTTTAAAAGTAGATTCAATAATCTACCCTTTTATCTTATCTATATCATATCCCCTGTTTTTAATTTTAGAAAGAGATTGACTATGACCAATAACAATTTGTAACCAAACCATAAACAAAGACAAATATCCATAATCCACTTTTTGGGAATGTGGGTGTGGTTTTCTAGGCTACCTCCTGCTGATGGGGCGGTGCTGGTAGTCTTATGGGGACACAAAGAAAATTTTAGGATTATGCTCAAGTCCTGACTGGAGTAGTCTGTGAGGCTGTGTTCTCTGAGCCAGTTGCCTTGACGCTGTTCTGGATGTTGGATCATCCGGAGACCTCTCGGGGGTCTTCCCTGATGGAACTCTATTAATCTGGAAGGAATCCACAGGTTCTTATCTTCTGTGGAAACAAAAGCAGAACCTCTTTTCCAAAGCAGCGTATCCTTAGACATGAATTCTAAAGTCAAGATACCTTTAAAATATGTATATTGGTTTAACTCAGCAGCCTTTACAATCACATGTCTCTCTCCAGTTAAAAATCCCAAAGAGAATATAATCCAGACTCTCTGTGTGATTTCCATCTTTGCATGGCTATTTTTATATTACTTTTACTCTCTCTTTAAAGACTTTAATTTTTAAAATGATCTATTTCTTTATATAACTGTCTATCCTCCTTTTCCTCTCTTCCAAGCCTACTTACATTTTTACATAGAATGTAAACCATTTAGAGTTTTATTCCATCTGATTCTGTCTTTTGTGTATCTATAATCCTTTTCTGATCATTGCAAACTGCAGTGTGGCTAAGATTGAAGCGGCAGCCCTGGCTGCTGACTCCACCCACTTCAGCTTCCCAACATGGCAGAGATATCCAGGAGAAGTTACACTTACCCCACCCACTCTGGGGTCCATGCTGCCTTCAGGTAGCATACAGCTGACCCATAAACCTTTCTGTCTATATTAGTAAAAGCTAAATCTGCCATGCAGCATGCTGCGCAGCTTGGAGACCTGTGTACTGATGCAGGAATCTTCCATGCTGTGCTCAAGCCCGAATGCTGTGGTGTCTCTGTTCCATGGCGTCCCTGTATCTCGGCCTGAATGAGGCATGCAGTAGGAAGCTGGTTTTGGCTCCGTTTTAGAATCTCTTATTAAGTTTTCTCAGGTTTTAAGTGGAGACTCCAGCCAACATGTTGGACAGCCAAATGTAGTCGAAATTTTTCTCCAGTTCCACCCGGCCCTGTGGTCCTACAGCCGCTTATAAAAATCACTCAGAGGCTTAATATTATTTACAAATTGTATGGCCTATGGCAGGCCTCTTGCTAGCTAGCTCTTATATCTTAAATTAACCCATTTCTATTAATCTGTGTTTCGCCATGAGTTCTGTGGTTTTACTAGTCTGCTGGCATGTTGCTCCTTGGGCATCTGCCTTTCTCTTTCCTGTCTCTCTTCTTGGATTTCCCACCTGCCTCTAAGCTGCCTTGCTGTAGGCCAAATCAGCTTATTTATTAACTAATGAGAACAACATATATTCACAGTGTACAGAAAGACATCCCCCAGCATGAGTCTGAGTTTCAGCTCCATGTTAAAACCAGGCGTGGCCATGTGTGCCTTAACCCCAGGGCTGTGGAGGCAGATACAGCAGTCTCCAGTGACAGTGAAGGACACCTGTGGTCCTCTGTCCTGTGCATGCACCAGAGAGAGGAGAGTTCAAGGCTTGAGTGAGCATAAATGAGCACAAAACGTATATAACTTATCTGCATAATGGAGTCTTACTACCCAGATCTTTAAAATTATGTGGTAGAGCTGAGTGTGGTGGCTTAGAAGATTCAGGCAAGAGGACCACAAGTGTGAGGTCAGCCTGGGAAATACAGCAAGACCCTACCTCAAAGAACCAATTATTTAAAGTGATACTTGTTAACATGGGAAAATGTTATCCTACGTGCTAAGGGGAAAGCTGTAAGAATAACTAGAGGGTAATGCCTTCTGATTTCAGCACATCCAAATGTGCTGTGTGTACACACGTGTGGTTATGTAGAAAACAATATGGCAAAAATTTTCATAAATAAGATTTATACTTAGTCATGAAAAGTATAGTACTGAATAGATAAAAAAAAAAATGGATAAAGGTGAATGAATAGACGGTTGAAAAGGAACAACTCCATGATCAAGAATCGTTTGGAATGCTGTTCCACCTCCAGGACAGAGTAATAGATGGCATTACTCCATTCCTTAAGTCGGCAAGGCAGACAGTAGCTTTTCAGACTTGGAAGGCAGTGGCAGTGCTGTGAGAAGAACCAGCCGTGCTAATGACCTCACCTCTGTTGACAGGCTCTCTGCGGAGCGTGACTCCTGCGGAAGGCCGTGCGTGAAAGGAGCTTTTCTGACTTTGTTCACAGTGGCAAAATCAGCAGTGTCAAACTGGAAAGAAAATGACGTTAGCTGGATGTAGTGGCACAGCACATAAAGGTCTGAGTTCAGGCCCAGCCTGGGCTGTGAGTAAGACTAAGCAAGCCAACAGAGCAGCTTTGGATGAGCTAGTGGTAGAGTGAACGAGCATCCTGTAGCTGTTAAAAATAAAGCCAGAAGCAGGGTGTGATTTTACTTAATGTGGGTTAGTGTGTGTCTGTACATATCAAAAAACGTTGGGGAAAGACTGCAATGTCAGAGTCTGGCTCGGGAGACAAGCAAAGCGAGAGATGTGAATGTGGCAGGGAGGGCATGCATCCTCTGTCCACCCAGAGACGCCTGTCACCTCCACAGGCTTTGCACTTGCTCTTACCTAGGGCCTTCAGGACAGGAGTCTGGGTTTTGTTGTGGTTTGATTGAGACAGGTTACTGTGTAGCCCAGACTGCCCTCACACTCACTGTGTAGCCGAGGATGGTGCTGACCTTCTGGTCTTCCTACATCCACCTCTGAGTGCTGGGCTACAGGTATGTGTCACCACGCCTGTTTTTGTGCTGTGTAGGGATTGAACTCGGATATGCAAGCAGTGTACCAAGTGAGCCACATCTCCAGCCCCAGAGAAGTAGATGCAATGCAGACAGATTTATGGACTCTGTAAGATCATATACCCTTCGTAGTGTATAAGTCAGCTGGATATAATGGTGCATGTCTTTAAGCCCGCACTGAGTAAGCAAAGGCAGACAGATCTCTGAGTTCAAGGCCAGCCTGGTCTACATAGTGAGATCCTGTCTAAAAAACCAAACCAAAAACCCACCAAAAATGTAGATGTGTGAATCATTTAGAATGCTATTAAAAAAGAAATTCATTTAAAAAAAAAAGGTTTGGGAGCTGGCATTGAGGGTCAGTGGAAATAAGTCCATTAAAAATAGATTCAAGGGCTGGGGGTGTAGCCCAGTGACAGGGTGCTTGCCTAGGGCAAGGCCCTCAGCCTGAGTCCCAGCACTGCAGAAACAAGACAAAACAGCACAGTTCGGGGGTTACCGTAGCGCTAACTAAAAAGTAACATAGAACGGTGGCTGTGTAGGGACATTGCAAGTGGTGAGAGACCACTCCCGGGCACACTGCTGGGCCGGGTTGGTTTCTAGTGACATTGTTGTAGTTTACAAAATTCCCATTGGCTTAGAGGTAGAAGCTGAGTTACTTCTCTGCAGGTTCACACTGGCGCCTCTTTAAAGGGCAGCCTACTGCAAAGGAAGAGCTGTCCTTGTGTGCTTCTGAAAATCAGCCGTGGGGACAGCACAGCACAGAGCTCAGAGGGGGGTAATGGTTTCCTTTTGTGGTCTAAACAGCAGACCAAAAGGACACATGGGCATGTGTACTGATGAGTACTGAGTTAATGGCTCTGGGTGATTGGCTCCTAGTCAGTCCTGGGAGTCAAGTCACAGAAGCCAGAGAGGAGTTCTCACTGGATAGTTACTTGTATTTGTTTGTATTTGTTTATTCATTTCTCTCTCTGTCTCTCTCTCTCTCTGTCTCTCTCTCTCTCTCTCTGTCTCTCTGTCTCTGTCTCTGTCTCTGTCTGTCTCTCTCTCTCTCTCTCTCTTTCTACAAGTTCTTACCATGAAGCTCTGGCTGTCCTGGAACTCACTCTGCAGACCAGGCTGGCCTCGAACTCACAGAGATCCACCTGCCTCTGCCTCCTGAGTGCTGGGATTAAAGGCGCGCGCCACCGTGCTAGGCCATCCCTGCGAATTTAAAGGCTGTGTGTTTCTGTTCTCTGAGTCTCTATATACATCATTATAACTCTTCATCACAGTTCATTCTTGAAAACCTTGGTCTTTTTAGCTAGAGAAAAGTCAAGCCCCGTGGAGACAGCTCACTCCTAAGAATTATAGACTCATAAAAAGCACAGTGGGGAGAGGCTGTGGACTCTGCCTTCAGGATCAGCCGTGCCCTTCAGTGCGGCCTTAGTCAGAACTTGCTCTTCTTCCTTGGTGTCTGGAAAGGAATGCAGGCTGAAGCCTTTCCCTCCTTAGTGGAGACTGCTCACTCATCATGCAAATTCGGAGGCGCTGTTCCAGCAAGAAACTGCAGAGAAGTCAGAGTTCTTAAGAACCAACTTGTCTGGTTAGCCTAAAATCTATTTTTAAAAGGTTGAAGTAGTTGACCTTTTATAGTACTAATCCCTATTTCTTAATTTATATCACCTAGCATATGGGGAAATCTCTAATTTGATGTAATTATAAGAAAAAGCAGCATGTATCACTGAAAAAATCAGAATTGTTAAGATACAGGCGAATATTATTTTTGAAAGCTGGAATTTTATGTAAATACTGGAAGACTGAAGTCCTTACTTTTATGTCAGTCACTTTGTGGCATTAGAAAACAAAGGTAACAATGTTGTCTTCTAGCAAAGTCCTATGCCAGAATCCCGACTGATGTGTTAGGTATCAGGGCAGAAGAGCCGGTGGGATCATTCCCTTCCCAGCCCCTGTCTTATGATAGGGGTGGTAGTATTCAGAAAATGAGAAGTCCTGTTGAGATAGAGCCTGAGGAGCTGCAGCTGGTTCTGTGTTAGCGAGTCCCCATCCTACTCTGACAATGATGGGAACTAATGTGGTAAGCTTTGGGTGGCTCTGTGATTGCATCATATCCTCCTCTAGGACTTAAAGATTGACCAGAAAACACCTCTCCGGGTCCTTCACCGAAGGCCTTTGGCCGTGAGAACTCGGGCCATTCACTCTATGGAGACACGCTACCTGGACGAGCATCATTTTCGTCTGTATTTGAAGACCCAAGCTGGAACGTATCCTTCTCCTTTGCGTTTGCAGAGACCTAACCAGGATGGGATCAGGTAGCTCCTGCTGCCCTTGACAACAGGTTCCATTGATCTGGGAGACACTTACTTGTTTGTTAGAGATGTGTTCTCCTGTACCCCAGGGCTCTTGTACTCCAGGCTGGTCTTGAACTCCTGATCCTCCTGCCTCTACCTCCCAAGTGCTGGGATTACAGGCCAGTGCTACCTCAGGTGATCTGGGATGTTTTGGAAAGGATTTGCGTGTATTCGTTTAATATTTTGGATTGGAATCAATACTTTGTTTTTTGAAGTCTGTTTTCCCATTTGTGTTTCAAAACAGTGTTTTAAACCATGAAGTATCCATCAGTTAGTTCAATGCCAGCTTTAAAATGTACAGTTCTGTTATAGTGTCTTACCCGGTGTTTATCATATAATATACTCAAAAAGTACTTTTAATTGATTCATTTGCTGTCTTTACACATCTTACAAGTCACATATTCATAACCCTATTTGATCCTCTGAGTATTTCAAATGTTTGCCCAACTGATGAAACGGGTGATAGAAACATCGGTATTTTACTATCTTTAAAGTCTGAGATTAGCGCTCGCCATGCTGTCCAGAGGCTCAAGACGAACACTAAGCAGTCCTCTGTGTGTGCCTCCGGGATGACAGGAAAGCCCCACACACTGTGTCCAGTGCTTTGTGACATAGTGATCGTAACTTACATACTGGCCTGTGTAAAAACCCAAACCCAAACACCACATGTCACCACCATAAGCAATAATACATCAGTGTTAGGATAGAGTTCAAAACTCCAACATTTTGACTGTGTTTTAAATAGAAAAGATTGTAACTCAGAGTTTTAAATACCTACCTGCCAATGCTAATACGTTGTTAATAACCTATTTTGACTTGTGGCTTTGGGGTCAGAACTGAGTTTCTAATCAAAGTGCCAGAGAGCTCCAACAGTTTTAGGCTTAGTTTAATATTTGCTTTCTTTTAAGACCGCATCTCACTGTGAATCCCAGGCTGTCCTGATCTCCAGATTCTGCCTCTGCCTTCCAAGTGCTAGGGTTACAGGCATGTCTCACCATGCCTGGTTTCCTTATTACCCTTCCCAGCATGGGTGTGTGTGCGTGTGTGTGTGTGTGTGTGTGTGTGTGTGTGTGTGTGTGTGTGTGTATGCCCTTCCCAGCATGGGTGTGTGTGCGTGTGTGTGTGTGTGTGTGTGTGTGTGTGTGTGTGTGTGTGTGTATGCCCTTCCCAGCGTGTGTGTGTGTGTGTGTGTGTGTGTGTGTGTGTGTGTGTGTGTGTATGCCCTTCCCAGCATGGGTGTGTGTGTGTGTGTGTGTGTGTGTGTGTGTGTGTGTGTGTGTGTGTGTATGCCCTTCCCAGCATGGGGGTGTGTGTGTGTGTGTGTGTGTGTGTGTGTGTGTGTGTGTGTGTGTGTGTGTGTGTGTTCCAGTGGCATGAAATGATAAATCTCTTTTAATTGGCATGCAGGTAGTGCATAGTTCTGTGTACAACAACATACCCTTCCCAGTGGGAAGAATCGAGGGCTGGTCACAGATGGTATTGTCATCATATTGCTGTATCTGAGGTGCCTCTCCTCTTAAACATCTTTTCCCACCTTTGTTCCCATCCAGTGCCCTGGATTGACCTTGCTGAACTGGGGTGTCTACTCCAAATCTACTCCAAATACCTTTTCCGTTCTGCACTTTGAATCAGGGATGATTTGTGCAGATTCTGATGGGCAGCTTGTTTCTTCTTTATTGTTTGGAGCACATTTGGCTATTGTAGATGGAATTCAAAGAAATCACAGATGTTAAAATTTATTTTGACTTTGGTATTGGGGATTGAACTCAGGGCTCATACATACTAAGTACATGTCTTACCACTGAGCTTCATGCCCTGCCTGAGATTATAAAAACAAAATAAAACTAACCCCATCTTTAATTTACATGCCAAGAAGGAATTCTTTGCCTTTTGGAAAAACTAACACCCTTTGGAAACAGCTACATATATATATTTAATATGTTAGCCAAGAAGAACTGGTAACTGTAAACAGCACGTAGTTCTCATAGAAGTCCATGTCCTTTGTGTTCTCAGTTCCTGTGTGCTGGCCCAGGTTTGCACAGCCCAGCACTCCATCCAGGCTGACTGCCTCCAGCCTCATCCCTCCAGCATGAGTCAGGTCCAGACCTTCCCACTGCTTCTGGCCTCCTGTTTGGTCAGCTTCCTTCTTTATTACTGGCTTTCTCTGAAGAAAATCAGAGAAAAAGAATGGCAATTGAAGAGAATCTGTGAATTCAGGGGAAAGCTGCTAAATAACAGTATGTCTTCTGTTTGATTCAGAACATGTAGTGGAGGAGGAGGTGAGAAAACTTGTAATGTTGTCTCTTAGTGTTGAGGATGCATTCATTTGCCCGTGCAGACGCCAGTAACTACTTGCACGGATGCAGTTTTACTCACGCAGTGTTCTTGTTCTTGTTTCTTAGTGAACAATGGGGAAGGTGTGTGTTTTTCAGATAATGTCAGGGCTACAGCAGAGTGCTGTGGAATGCTAATCTTATTAAGAACAAATTCCAGATTAAACCATTGCCTTCAAAATGTAAAGACCTAGAAAGAGAACACAAAGTTGCTAAACCAAACTCAAAAATAATTTAGCCAGGTGTGGTAGTTCACACTGGAATCCTGTCGCGCAGGATTGCTTCTATTCAGGACAGGCTGGACTACACCGTGGTTCCAAGGGCAGGTTGGGGTGCATGGCGGAGCACTCGGGAGCAAACACACAGAAGGAAACAAACAAAAAGCAAACAACATCAAACAAGCAAAAACCACCTTAATTCTTTGGCTCACAACTGCCTGTAGCTGCAGCCTCAGGGTAGAGGTCCTGCTCCCTTTCTGACCTCCAACATCACCCGAACATGGTGTACACGCACGAGACACACATGCATGCGTAAATATTAAGTATTACGTTTATTTTTAAAGAAGACTAAATTAATAATTTAATTTTCCCTTCCATCTTAATGCTAATGTGTTACAAGGAGCCCCATCGTTGAGGTCACTTTCTGAGGGGTCTTGTGGAACTTACCATTTGGTAGATACCAATTGCCATTATTAAAAAATGGGATCAGATATCAAAATAGAAATGGAGACAAAAAAAGGCTTAAAAAGAAAAGCATTGGGTTGGGCATGGTGGCACATGCCTTTAACCCTAACATTCAGGAGGCAGAGGCAGGTGGATTTCTGAGTTGGAGGTCAGCCTGGTCTACAAAGTGAGTTCTAGGCTAGATCTACACAGTGAGATGCTATCTCAAAAAAAAAGAAAGAAAGAAAGAAAGAAAGAAAGAAAGAAAGAAAGAAAGAAAGAAAGAAAGAAAGAAAGAAAGAAAGAAAGAAAGAAAGAAAGAAAATGCACTGAACTATATAGTTAATTTAATGTATACCCGAACCTTGGCATTTTGAGATGAGTTAATAACCCAAAGCTGGGGTGGGAGAGGCTGCAGGTTTCCAGTCTCAGCACTTGGAAGGTGGAAGCAGGAGGATCCAGGTCAAGTTCATGTAGCCCGGGGTACCCTGTCTGAAACAAAGCAAAGCCATGGCCTCTGGTGAGTTTGATGTAAACAGAGGTTCTGGTTACTCTGCTGGCATCCAGGCCGCTGGCATTCAGCTTATTTTCTGAGATGCACATCTCAAGTCCGAGTTTAGAAATGACATCTCTTTTGTAACATTTTAAAATTCTATTTATTTTTCCCTTCCACTTGCCAAAGTAGTTGGTACTGCATGATCTTTTCCTTAAACAGACCTAGCTACATTAAAGAATTTGTACACGGAGACTTTGGGAGAACCAGGCCGAATATTGGCTCTCTGATGAACGTGACCGCAGACATTCTTGAGCTAGATGTGGAGGTAAAGTATTTTATGGGGGAGTGTGCATCTGCAAATCAAATTCAGCTAAATTAGGTCTTTTGACACTAAACTAAATAGCACTGCCTGTCTCCATGGGTATTTTTTTATATGAGGGTCTTTTTTTTTCTTAGATTTATTTTCTTTTATGTATATGAGTATTTTGTCTGCATGTATGTCTGTGTGCCACATGTGTGCCTAGTGCTCCTGGAGTTGAGAAGAGGGTGTTGGGTATCCTGGAATCAGAGTTACAGATGATTGTGAGCCACCAGGTGAGTGCTGGGGATGGAGCCCAGGTCCTCTGGTAGTGCAGCTGGTGCTCTTAAACACTGAGCCATCTCTCCAGCCCTCTATAGGTATTTGAAAATAGTAAAACCTCACAGTAGCTTTGTGGTACAGGAAAGAATTATCTTTGTAATTATTTTAAACAAACAACAAACCAGGATCCATTGTGATGCTTGTGGATTATATAATTTACTAATTGGTATCAGGTACTGTTATTTACTAATTTACCTATGGCATTAGATTAAACCTTTAAAGAAAATAAAGTTTAACGCCTCATGCATCCTTCTGATTGCTAGGGTTGTGTTTTATAAAGAATGTTAGAACTGGGCATGAGGGCGTACACTTTTAATCCCAGCACTTGAGAAGCAGGGGGTGGTGGATCTCTGAGCTCAAGGCCAGCCTGGTCTACATAGGTATTTCCAGGACAGCCAGGGCTATATAGAGATACTCTTTCTCAAAGAGGGGAGTGGGGTGGTGAACTTTCGGGCTGGGCTGAGCTCATCTCAGTAACGGCTGTGGCTGCCGAGGCCTCACTGGATTCAGTCAGTCCCTGGGATCCACATGATAGAAGCAGAGAGGAAACCACTCATTTCCTTGTGTGCTGGGGCATGGGCACGTGTGTGCAAGCATGAGTATGCACACACACGTACAAAATCAGTAAGTGTTCAAGGGGGGTATTTAAGACCACTTGCTCAAGAGCATCTACTCAGACTAGGTAGCAAATCAGGTAAGTTGGATTTCTCAAGCCAGGCATCTGTACATCTGTAATCCCAGCACACAGGAGGCAGAGGCAAGAGAATGGATTGAGTTTGAGGCCAGTGAGACCCTGACTCAGAACAAACACAGCAAAGCAGGGATTGTCTCTCAGGGCAGGTAAGAGCCCTGTGGTGTGCTGCTCTGCCCTGTAGCTGTCAGTTCAGACAGGGTTAACCTCCAGAGAAAGAACGGCTCTGCTGGGCTGTGATGTCAGGAATCAGTGCTCCTCGAAGAAAACCTGAGTAGAAGTTGAATTCCTGCCTAACTCCACTGAAAATCCTAGAAGAGGCTAGAATTCTGCAAAGGTACAAGAAGTGGACGTGTGCCCATGTGAAGACAGCCGTGGCAGTCACAGAGTCGTTAGATGGTACTTGGCTCTTGCGGGGCAGCCAGGACCCACTGTCCAGACGGTAGGAGCCTCATGAAGCTACTGTAAGGAGACAACTTAGTGTCACAGAAGTCCCGACCACATTAGTTATCCAATGCCAAATGGTCTGGAAATATACATACAAATAACATTACACAGACTGGGCAGGTTGTATTTAGGAAAATATATGTGTATGTGTATATTTATGTGTGTATATAGCAACAATTTATGACAAAAGAGACCATGAATTTGAAAGAGAGCAAGGAAGGATAGAGGGAAGGGTTTCGAGGGAGAAAATGATGTGATTATATTATAATCTCAAATAAATAATTGAAGACATTTTCTCCTAGGATGCTAGGCAAAACTCTACACTGAGCCATGCTCCAATCCATGTTAATAGACAGCTTAGAGTCAGCCCTGGGTCAGTTTCTCAGCCTGGTCAAGTAGGACCTTGTAGAGCTACTGACCCACCGTGCTATGGCTCCCCTTCCCTATCCTCTGCACACACAGTTGATTCTTTGTGTCTCGTTTTTGGTTTGAGAAACTACTCATGAACTACACATGATGATTTGGTCCATGGCTGTATCTAAAACACTAGCACAGCACGTCCTGGGAGTCAGAAAAGCTGTGCATGCATACTTGTGCAGTGGTTGTTTGGGTTTTCTGCTGGTTAGGGACTCTGAAGTGTGAAGTGACCCATGGGCTAATGGACACATTAGTTGCAGTAAGGCACTTCAAGCTTTTGGTTTGGTTTGGTTTTGGGGTTGTTTTATGATATTGTACATGCTCAGGGGACCCCGGCTGGCCAGGGTATCCCACACGTGTCGGAAAACATGCTGGGCAGATGTAGCGGCACGTCATTCATAACCCAGGTGCTGCTTCCACGTGGAAATGAGTTTATTATAATAGAGAGATAAGAGAAAGATAGGGGAAGAGGGAAAGACAGAAGAGAGAGGAAGGGGGGGTCAAGGGTAAACACCTCGTGGGAATGGAGAGAAAGAGAGTGGAAGAGAGAGAAGGTGGGCTCCTTAAATCGGACTTTTATATCAGGATGATGCAGGGTGGCCCAAATGGCGGGTCTCCAAGGGGCAGGTCAGGTTATTAAATGTCCTCCATTTTAATTATTATAAAAAGATGAGTTATGGAGCAAGTGGGGGAACAAGGGCACTGAATTCCCAAGACTGCTTCAAGCTGACAAGGGTCGAAGTGGGGAGGGGGAAACTGGCAGACACACACACACACACACACACACACACACACGGAGTCACTCACGGCAAGAGATCTCAGGCATCTGTTCCTTGAGGGAGCTGAGGAGGCAGGCTGCAGCAGTGGTGTTCTGGGAGCTTGGGGGGAAATGGAAAATCAGGAGTACAGAAGCCATGGCATCTGCTGTTTCTCTGGAGGTCAGGCGGGAAATGAATCTGCAAAATATGCTCGAAAAATAGGTGGGGTCAGAAATGGCTCTGCACGTTGTTAGTTTTCATCAGACCAGATTTCGTGATGCAGTAGCAGAACTTTCCCAGGAACTTGTGGGTATCTGTAAGACAGCTGGAGTGGATTTACATCATAGCAAAAGGGTTGAAAATTTTAAGAACCATTTGTAGTCAATGTTTTATCAGTTTATCAAAACTTCATTTATCAATATTAAAACTTTGAACCTCTGGAGTTATACCTGAAACCTGTACCATGAAGTCTGTGAATGAGGCATACCTGTCTGTAATTTCAACAGGAAACTTATTGATGAACTATTAAGGTGCTTGTAATCTCAGGATTGGGGCTGTTAAACTGGTACCCTAGTCATCAAACATCGTCACATCTGAGAAGGATAAATTTAAGAAGTGAGACAGCTTTCCAGCTACCTAGGCAGCAGTCCCAAGTCTCTCCGTAGTCGTTGTGGGACAGAAGTCCCAAAGGCAGCACTTGTTCAGCTGATAGGCCCAGAAGATCTGACAGATTTTTTTTCTATGAAGTAGAAATTTGGGAGATCATCCTATCTGTCTTTGCAGAGAGCACAATCAATCCCTGTTGCTCCTTTTATTCACAGTCTGGACAGGATCTCAGCTTTTCACTACATGGCCAGCCTTGCCATGAGCTTCCAGTTGGAAGTTTTTTTGTGACCATCTGTCTTCTTGGAGAAGATACAGGATGCTGCCAGGAGCTGAGATATTTCTCTATTATAAAGAGCTTTTATATTAAATGCCATATTCTCAGATCTGTACAGGTGTTTGAGGACTGAGGGAACAAAATCTGTTAGATGTAGATATACAGGTTTCCCAGTTAGTTACAGCTTAATGAAGTTAGCAAGGACAGGGAGGTTCACATTCTTAAGCCTGAACAGACCTTGAGTAAGGAGATACTTTTTTTAAAGATTTATTTATTTATTATATATACAGCATGTATGACGGCAGGCCAGAAGAGGACACTAGATCTCATTACCGATGGTTGTGAGCCACCATGTGGTTGCTGGGAATTGAACTCAGGACCTCTGGAAGAGCAGCCAGTGCTCTTAACTGCTGAGCCAACTCTCCAGCCCAGGAGAGACATTTTTTAAGCCATTGGCAGTGATATCTAAATCTATTACCATTTTTAAGGCCCAGATGCTGTAGTTCTGATCTTTGAGTACAGCCAGATTATAATCCTGAATGATATATATATAGAAATAATCATCTCTCAAGGTTATTTAATACCTTTTTTTTTTTTTTTTTTGGTTTTTCGAGACAGGGTTTCTCTGTGTAGCTTTGCGCCTTTCCTGGTACTCGCTTTGGAGACCAGGCTGGCCTCGAACTCACAGAGATCCGCCTGCCTCTGCCTCCCGAGTGCTGGGATTAAAGGCGTGCGCCACCACCGCCCGGCCTATTTAATACCTTTTTTGTTCTGCATAAAGAAGGTCAAGTGTCTTGTCTTATTGCAGTATTGGGTCCAGTTTCTTGGTATATCAATGAGCATTAGGTAGCCAAGTCAGTTCCCTATGCCGGGGGTTCCACTTTTAACTTGGCCTATACCCTGTCCTGAGAGCAGGGAGCATAAGACGATGCATTCTTCTCCATAACTGCTTCAAGCTGAAACAGGACACAGGTGTTCAGGACCCTGGCTAGTCAAAGGTAAGGAGGGAACCCAGGCAATGTGGCATTTATCAGAAGTATGTGGTTGTCTGACCTAGCTGTAGAGACAGAAAATAATTATGTTTTTGGTTGGATTGGTCCACCATCAGCCTTCAGCAGGTCCATGTCTCACAGATTGAAGTCAGTAGCCGATGCCTGGATGTGTCAGTCAGCCAGATGGAAGCCCACTGAAACAGATTAGATTAGAGACGAGAGAGTTAAAATTTTATGAATTTATTTGGAACCTTCTGGCCCATGGTCTTAGTGGTTGGGAAGGGGAGACCAGGAGGGAGAGAAATTCCATCCTCAGGAACAGACATGTGAGGAAACTCATTTGTCTGGAGCTTGTTTGACCTCTGTGAAGTGGATCCAGTGGCTTCTTTTGATCCTGTGAAGTTTATATGAATTCTTATTTTATAAAAGGACATGAAAGTTTTAGATGAATTAGTATCATCAATCAGTACTAAAATCCAAATTGTAGAAGAGCAGGTAATGAGTATCTAGGCTCTTACCTTTGAGTCCTAGCAAAACTAAAGATTTGGGTTAAAAAGTATGTACTGTTTTTATTTAGAGAGAACCAGTTACAGATTGGGCAGAGATGTCTTTGGCCTGATGAGAAGTTTAAGTTTATATTTAGAAGACAACCAAGGCAAATTTAAAATCCTGAGCTTGTGACCCAAACTGCATCAGAACTCTATTAATGTTAAAATCTGAAATTTCAAAATCTTAATATAATGATACTGCCTGCATGTGGTTCCACTGATGCCCCCAAGGGGGCGCATATGTCTGGGCCCTGCCCATAGAAGCAGCTGCAGAGGAATGAATGCCAGGCTGTGACGGGACCTCTGCCCTGCCCAGACAGCTGGAGTGCCGGGCACCCACTCATGCTTGAGCCACTGACAGGAAGTGACTTTTTGTTGCCCTTACTAAAGATGGCGGTGAGGTCATATGACCTGTCCCCCTCAGACCTTAGCAAAGACAGCATCTACCTGACCACGTGACGACCCTTATCAAATATGGCGACTGACCACGTGGTCACATGTTTCTTTGTTTTCTCAAGACAAACTGAACAGATAAGGTGAAGCATTTAAAAGTTAGTCAGAAACAAGTTTATGTGGCCATTTTCCCAAGCCCTGGCAGTGGAGGAGAGGCAAGAAGGAAGGACCTGGGATAGGAGAGGGTAGGCTGGCCTTGAACTCACAGAAATACATCTTCCTCTGCTTCCTGAGTGCTGGGATTAAAGGTGTGTGCCACCACCGCCCGGCACTTGAACTGAATTTTAAAAGAAACAAAAATTCTGAAATGAAAAGATACTTGATGCTTTTTAGTTCTAGTGATTTTCTGTATTCATTTGCTTCACATTTAGTCACAGACTGCTTGAGCCATGTGCCATGTCATACTGGCCCCACTAGCTGATATCACCTAGTGACATCATACCTTAGTGTAAGAAAGTACACTCTGGTGTTTGCCCAGTGGTGAAGTCACCTAATGACACATTTCTCAGAATATGTCCCCACCGTTAAGTGATACAGAACTATATTTTGTTAAATATAGATGGTAGAATGAAAATGACCAGAACAACAGTTGTTGAGTGTTGTGAGGAAAGTGTGCCTACCCAAATCTGAATTTGTCTATACTTTACTCACAACTGGCATTATGGTTTTTCAGTTTCTTCTCCTGGGAGCAGGAGGTATAGTAGTAATTGTGTCTCCGTTAGTTCAGAAATGGGCCTTCAGTGTTGCCGCTCTCATCCGATGTAATTTCTCCTGCATTACAGTAAAACCGTCCCCAGCGGTGATTGCCAGAACGTCTGTTTTAATGACTTGTTTTCTTTCTTTCAGTCTGTAGATGTTGACTGGCCACCTGCTTTGGATGACTAGCTCTCACATGTCACACAAAGGGTTTTCCTGACATGATGTGGACATACAGGCGGCGTATCCTGGAAAATGACTTACCCACCACAACGGTGTCTTTAAAACGACTTGGATCATGTTGATCTGTTTCTAAAGTTCACTGTAACATCTCAGGATTCATATGTATGCATAGCTTGTGTTCTCTTGTTCTGAGTATGTCTGATGTTTTCTCATCCCCTGTTTCATGACCATGAAGCCAAACTAGGAATCTAACCCTTTTCCTTTTTAATTCTGTCACTTAGAGAAGTGTGCAGTGGGAACACTGTTAAAAGGAGCTGTGACTTCTTCCAGCGAATTTCCTACAGGAGACACAGTACCTTTGAAGGAATCTGCTAAAGTTTTCAGATCATCTGAATAAACGCTACAACTAGACTCTTGTAGTAGAGTGTCCTATGGTATTCTAATGTGTCAAGTGCACATCTGATAGTAATATTTTCCCCAGTCCCCTCAAGCTGTTATCAGTGGAAGTACTTTAAAGTATGATTTGTCAAAAGTCCTAATGACCTCAGGTTACTATTTTGACAATCTAAAGTTATCAGTACTTGTCTCCTGTAGAAGGCAGTAGCAATGCTGGAGATGTAACTCTAGAGCCATGGTTCTCAACCTGTGGGTCAAGACCCCCATAAGGGTTGCATTTCGGATATCCTGCAAATCAGATATTTACATTACAGTTCATAACAGTAGCAAATTACAGTTATGAAGTAGCAATGTAATAATTTTATGGTTGGGGTCACCACAACTTGAGGCACTGTATTAAAGGGTCACAGCATTAGGGAGCATGAGAACCACTGGCCTAGACACTTTCCTACATCCTTTAAGTAAAGTGAAACAAGTGCCTTCAATAACTTCTGTTCCTGGGTCACAAGTTCACAAATTTGAGGTTGCTAAACAAATACAAACATATTTTACAGTGTTTCAATTATTTTCTAACTTCAAACATTTTAATAAGGTATAGCTAACATATTTCATAAACAAGGAAATAAAGTTAAATGACGGCTAAGATATCAGTTACTCCTGTTAACCAGGTCTGGAACTGGAGTGTGTCTCCAGGCTCCTTTCTCTAAACTCTGGTCGTGAGCACCTGTTGCTCCTGTGCATGACAGTAACCTCAAGGATGTCAGTCAGATGCACAATGCCAGGAGATTGCCTTCTGGAATTTGGATAGCAAATAGCTCCCCAAGAAATGGCTAATGTATGTCTTATATGACTTCGTATAATTATTTGTAATGAATGGCATGATGAAGAAGAGAAATCTTAAAACCTATTGAACCAGAAGAAGATGGATTAATTATTAAAAATTCCAGAAGGAAAGCTCAATAAAATTTAGATTTAAGTGTAATTTTCATCGTCTGGCACAACTTCTTGACCCTTATCTCTCTCTCTCCATCCATCTCCCTCTCCCCCTCGATCTCCCTGTATCTTTCTTTCTTGTTTTTGATACATTGATTGAACAGTGTTTGATTATTCATGTTTCTCTGCACACAATTCACAGATCCTTAAGATGTATTTTAGTATGAGGGTCATGCCACAGCTGGGGCCATACAGATCTGAGTGGCCTGTGCTGCCACAAGGTGCTATGGTGATGTTTGGGTCCAGAGCTGTAGCTGAGGGCCATGTCTGGGTCCGTAGCCCTACCTCAGGCAGCCAGGGTCTGTGTTGATGTCCATGGCTCCTGATGCCATCGAAGACCATGCTGATGCCAGGGTTCTGGGCCACCACCTGGTGCCATATTGGTGTCCGAGGGTCACACTGGGGCCATGTCAATCTGAGTGGTCTGCACTGCCACCTGGGGCCATGGTGACATCTGGGCCTGGACTGCTACAGAGGACCATGTGTGGGTCCATGGTCCTACCATGGTCGGGTCCATGTTAATGTCCCTGGCCCATGTTGCTACCAAAGGCCACATGGATGCCCGGGGTCTAAGCCACAACCTGAGGGCCATGGTACCACCAGGGTTATACTGATCTGGGTGGCCTGTGCTGCCACCTGGGGCAATGGTGATGTCTGGGCCCGAGCTGCTGCTGAGGGCCATGTCTGGGTCAGTGGTCCTGCTGCAGCTGAGGTCTGTGATGATGTCCATGGCCTATGTTACCACAGAGGGCTGTAAGAATCATGTGTGTTGAAATCCAAGGGCTATGCTAAGCTAACTCAGCCCTTCACTGACTCTGGAATAGGTGGTCCTGCCCCCTGGCTGTATACTGCAGCAGGAAAGCTGGTCCTGCCCCTCATGGGAGAGCTCCCTCCAACCCCACACTCTGGAGAGATGGTCCCACCCCTCACCATGGGCATGGGAGAGCTGGCCCCAATGGCATGGGGGTAGGAGAGCTTGCTCCATCCCTTGCCTGAGAGATTTGGTCCCAGTGGCCCATACTGTCCAGCCCAGCCACCACCCAGATCCACATCCTGGGTCTTGGGTTGGCCAGTCCTAACATCTACCCCTTCTAGGACCTGTTGGAGCTCATGAAGGGACTGGTCCTGCGGAACAATAGCTGCAGGATCTCCATGGCAGGGGGCAACAGCAGGATACCTGAGAGGAGTTTCCATGAGGGTCCAGAGGTGATGGAGTGCCAGAGGCCTTGAATCAGACCAATGACTCACTGCAATGAACATTTTGTGGGTGGGGCTGATTGGACAAAAGGGTGTACTGTGTGACACACCACAGCTCCCAATGCCGCTAGGGTGAATGAAGAGGTGTTGGAGAGATGGAGGAGACAGGTGGTAGGAGCAAGGTGGATTTTTTTGTTTTTAATTAATTGGGGGGGGAGGGCTGAAGGGCAGATATGGAGGGACTGGGAGGTGAGCGGGATTGGGGTGCATAATGTGAAATTTCCAAAGAATCAATAAAGAATTATGTTATTAAAAAAGATGTATTTTAAATATTGTATCAGGAAAACGTTTTTGCTTGAGATAAAGAGGGAAACGTACTGCTTTGAAATCATGTTTCATCATATGTGAATAATAGCAAAGGATTTTTTTCATTGTCTGAAAAATGCAAAGGGGATAACTGATAAAAAGTTAAAGACTTCTGGTGGATAATTCCCAGTTTCTGATGAAATTTCACAACAAAAGATGTTTAAATAATTTAGGGAAAGTCCTTTGTTTCTTTAGTTCAGCTTTGAGCCCAATGGACCCAAAACATGAACTCCAAGAACTTACAGCAAACTGTTTCTTGAATTATTTCCTGTTGAAGGGTCAACAGTGGCTGCAGACACTTCTTCCAGATGTCCTCGGGACTTGGGGACCAGGATTAGGAAGGGGTCGCACTGTTACCTTACCTGGTGTCCCTTCTCTGTGCTTTGTTTACAGTAGAAGCAGGGTTTGTCATTTGCAGAGTGAGCTTTTTGTTCTTGGTTGCAAATATAATCTATAGTTTACTTTAGGGGAAAAGAATCAACTCCGAAGAGTTGAAGAAGTCAAGGAAAAAGTAGAATTGATAAATGAGAATTTTCCTAGTAGGGTAACTGGTTACTTTTGCAAGTTAAATTAAGTGACTTAAGTTAAATTTTCATTTCCTAAGAGAAAAACAGCAGGTGTGGTTTTTTCCCCACTTGGAGCTTTAGTCTTTGTGTTTTTTTTTTAATTAAATTTATTCTTTGACAGTTTCACACATGCACATAATACACAGTGGTCACACGTACACCCCCATCTTTTCTTTTTTGTTTTTTGAGACAGTCTATGTAGCCCTGGCTGTCTAGAACTCACGGCTTTCTGCCTTTCCCTTCCTCCTAGGTGCTGGGATTAAAGGCGCGCACCGCCACACTAACCCCTACCCTTTCCCATCCCCAAGGAAGCCCCCTCCCTACGAGTCCCTTGTGACCCCCTGAGATGACAACCTTTGTGGGCATGGCTGTGGGACACAGCGGGGTCACAAATAGCCTCAACACCTAGGACAGCGCCCCTTCAAGCATCCATCAACAGCTAGTAGTTTCTCAAGGAGGGACGGGTCCGCATCCCCCCTCACGACCCACGCAGGCAACTGCGGATGCCCGAGTTCATGATCGCTACAGTCAAACCACCTTGTCGAGAAGGTTACATTTCAGCCTTCCTCATCAGCCAGCTCAGCTATCATTCTGTTCCCTTTAAGTTCACACACGAGAATGAACTGTGTAGTCACTGAAGGTAGGGTCTCATGTTATAGCTTGGGCTGGACTTGAGTTCATGATCCTCCTCCTGCCTTTCAAAGGGTTTGGATTGTGTTCAAGGGCCTCAACCACAGTCCAGGTGGGAGCTTTTCTAAATTGGTTTTTAAATGGTACCCACTTACCTCGCAACTTAGGGAGAAAAGGGTTTATTTCCCTTACTCTTCCATCATTGAGGGAAGTCAGGGCAGGAGGCAGGAACTGGAGCAAAAGCCAAGGAGGAACGCTGCTTACTGGCTCACTCCTCGTGGCTTGCTCAGTCTGCTTTCATATAGCACCCAGGACCACGAGCTCAGGGCTAGCACCGCCCACAGTGGGCTGGGCCCTCCCACATCAATCATTAATCAACATCGCACCACAGACTTGTCCACAGGCTAATCCTATGGAAACACTTTCTCAGTTGAGTCTCCCTCTTCCCGGATAGTCTAGCCTGTGCCAAGTTGACATAAAAAAACAGCTAGCACAGTACCTCTTTTTTTTTTATCATTATGAAAACGTTACTTTCATATCCCTTTTTTTTTTCATTTCAAAATAATTCCAAACTTAAAAGTACTAAAAGTACAAAGGAACTTTCCCACTGAGTTGCTGAGTCAGCAACACCTCACCATCTCAAATACATCAGTGTGTAATTCCAGGAAGACATCTTGTAAATCACAGGACACCCACCATACCAGGAAGTTAGCCCTGATAGACTACCATTCTCTAACCTGAAGGCTTCACTCAGGTTGCCGTTTGTCACAGGCATCATGATCGAGTCATCACACTTTGTAGTCCGTGGTTACGCTGACATTCATGAAGCAGTTTTAAGATTTCAGACCAGTTATTTAGTAGACTACCCCCTCAGCTCCAGTCTGCCTAGTACTTCCTTCTTAGATTTAGGCGTGTGAGAATGCCACAGAAGAAATGTTTTCTTCTTGCATCTTACCAACTGTCAAACAGTTCCCAAGTTTTCCAGTTTCTGAGGGCTGGGTGTCGGCAGCTGGGTAAGGTGTTGTCTATCCAGCTGCTCCAGTCTTAGAATCCTCCGTCCCCTCTGTGGACCTTATAGATGGACCAGATCATCACTCATCAGACAGCATCCACTGACGATCTCCACCTGACTCATGATTGCTGGATACTAATTGCCAAAATCTGCCATTCCTTTTACATGTAATGATTGGCATCGCACTGAAAGGCAGGGCCTTTCCTTCTCTGTTCATCATTTGCTGCATCGTGGTGGACTGTAGCCTTGGTTTTCTCTTTTGGGGTGTTGGGGATTGAACCAAGACAAAGCATTTTGTCACCATCACCCCCATTCATAGATCCCATTTTATTCAATGAGGTGGCAATTGTTACTAACATTTTTTTTTATTTCTAAGTATTGGCCTGAGCAGTGGGAATCCAAGCTCTTCTTTTCTTTTGACATTATCTCTACCATTCTTTGAGTATATTCTTACTATAAAACAAAGATATTCCATGCTCATCTTTGTATTTCCTCTGCACTAGCTATGAAATAGGCAATTTTTCTAAGATCTGGTTCCATTTGTGGAAAATGTTATTTTTCTAGAATAAACTTCTTACTACATTTATCATATGTGTATCCATGCATGCTGCAGCACACATGTGGAGGTCAGGGTAATGTATAGGAGTCAGTTCAGTTCTTGCCTACCATGTGGGTCCTGGGGATTGAACTTGGGTCATCAGGCTTTTATCCACTGAGCCATCTCATCATCCCAAAAGTACTTTCAAAAAAAATTTTTGAGACAAGATGTCGTGTAGCCCAGACTAGCCTTGAATGTAGCCAAGAACGATCTTGAATTTTTCTTTGCAATCAAGAGCCTGGACTATAGGTGTATGTCATGCCTGCTTTATGAGATGCCGGAGAGCAAGATCCCTTGCAGACTAGAGAATCATTTGAGCTACACCCCCAACCCCAGAAATTGGGTTTAGAAACCCAAGGTCTTGGATTTTATATGTGCTCTTGTTATTGAGGATTGCTGTTTTAAAGCCCTCTCATAGAACACATAACATCTAGAAAAGTCTATCTACATACACCAAAAGCTATGGTTACAATGTCAGTATTTCCAGTGCCTGCCCTCTATTTCTCCTTTTCAAACTTCTTAATTCTCTGTTCTGATGATGAGTCTGACTGCCATTAGCCTCAACACATACAACATGTACGTGCATAAAACCCTTAAAGATAACCACCCTCCTATGACTACCTTCTTACTCCAGATCACTACAATCCCATTACCCACAGATGTTCAATAAAATCTGAACAGATTAATAATGAATAAGGAGATAAAACTATTAAAAGTCTCAAGAAAGAAAAATCCTAGCACCTGATGGGTTCACTGCTACCAAACATTTAAAGAGCTGATAGCAATCACCAACTTTTCTGGTTTTGGATTTTTTGTTTTGTTTTGTTTTTTTGAGACAGGGTTTCTCTGTATAGTTTTGGTACCTGTCCTGGATCTCACTCTGTAGACCAGGCTGGCCAACTGATCTCACAGAGCTCTGCCTGACTCTGCCTCCCGAGTGCTGGGATTAAAGGCGTGTGCCACCACCACCCGGCTAATCTCCAACTTTTCTAAAGCAAGCAAAGAGGAAATGCTTCCAAACTCCAGTGGCAAACTCCAAAAAGACATTAAGAGAAAACTCAGGCCAGTGTCCCTTATGAACATACATGAAAAAATTAAGATGCTTGCAAGACATATTCAACAACATACTCAAAATATAGCTCACCGAGACCATGAGGGATTACCCCAAGGATTCAAGGATGGTTCAATATGATAAAAGCAATCAGAATTGCAATGTCATTTTGTAGCAGAACTGCCCTAAACTATGTATGGAACCACAAGAGCTATCGAGCAAAGTGAGCTTAGGCCAAAAGACAAAGGGAGAGATAGGTATGGTGTCTCAATCTGAAATCCTAGGACTCAGATGGAGGGGGAGTGGGGGGAGAACATGAGTTTGAGGCATACAGCAAGATCCAGGCCAGCATGGCCTGTACAATAAAACCCCATTTTAAAATAATAAAGAACAAGGACTGGGGATGTAACTCAGTCGGCAGAATGCTTGCTTAGCAGCATGAGTCCCTGGGTTCAATGCTCAGTCCATCACTAAATCGATGTGGTGGTGTATGCCTGAAACCCCAGCACTTATAGAATATAGAAGTAGGAGAATCAAAAGTTCAGGGTCATCCTCAGTGACACTGGAAATCTGAAGCCAGCCTGACTGCAATACCCACACATGCCAGCCCAGAAATAAGTCCATGAATTTATGTTCAGCTTATTTCTGACAGACGTGTCAAGAACACACAATGGGGAAAGAACTAGAAAAAAAAAAAAAACATGGGGAAAAGCAACATGACTGTGGTCTAGGCAACTCTGTTTTGTATTTGCCACCGAAATCATGACCAACAAAAGCAAAACTAGACAAGTGGGATTACTAAACTAAAAGGGCTCTTTTGGAACAGCAAAGGAAAGAATGAAGTGGAAAGACAACCCCCAGAATGGGAGAAAATAGTTGAGAGCATACATCTGATCCCAGGTCACTATCCAAAACGATCCAATAGCAAAGAAACAAAGGACGCACTGGTGTGGCACATGCCTTTAATCCCAGACCTTTGGAAGCAGGAGCAGGTGGAGCTCTGAGTTAGAGGCCAGCCTGATCTCCTTAGCAAGTAATATGACCACATGTCAAAAAAAAAAAAAATGGATGTAGTGGTAAAATGGACCATGAACCATTACATATGTTCTCAAAAGATAAAGGGCCAACAAGCCTATAAAAAAGAAAGCCCAATTAATCAGAGAAATAAAAATTAAAATGGGATACCACTTCATACCTATTAGAATGGCTATTATCAAAAAGAGGGAAGTCAGGGGCTGAAGAGATGGCTCAGCAGTTAAGGACACTTGCTGATTTTGCAGAGGAATTAAGCTGAGTTCCCAGCATCCATGTGAGATGGCTCACAACCACCTATCACTTTGGCTTCTGGGAATCCAATGCCCTCTTCTGGCCTCCTAGGGCACCTGCACTCATGTAAGCAACACACACACACACACACACACACACACACACACACACACACACACACACACACACGAAGATAGATAACAAGTGCTGGTAAGAACATGGAGTAAGGAGAAACTCCGCATTGTTGATGACAATGTATATTGGTTCAGCTGTTATGAGAGTTCCTCAGAAAACCAGAACAACTGTGTGACCTAGCAAGCCCATTCCTGGGTTCATATATCTACATCCCCATGTCCACAGCATTATTTACAATAAACAAGATAAGTCTGTCTGAGTGTCCACCAATGGATGAGTAGCTAAAGACACTACAGTACAAATATACACTGAGATAGTGTTCATCTTTGGATACACAGCTGGATGAGGCCAGCCTGAGTGACATGAAACCCTGTCTCAAACAAGAGTTCAAAAGAGGTGGTCAGCTTCGGATACACACCGAGGAAAGGCCTTCTGGATTTGCTGCTGCACTGACAGCTTTGGGAGATGAAGAAGAAGGACAACAGCCAGGCTTGGCCTCAGCAACTAGAAGCACGGTGTTCCCATCATTTGTAACAACGTAGGTAAACCTGGGATAAAATATGTGAGGCCGAAGACAAATACCACATGATATAATTTATACATGAAATGTAAAAATGATGACGTCATAGAATGGGATGTTGGAAGGTTAGGATACACTTGAGAGAAGCTGGGCAAATGGCTGGCCAAAGGACACATTTTGGGGGGTTATCTTTAAAGAAATAAAATTGGGGCTCGTGAGATGGCTCAGGGGGTAAAGGCACCTGCCCTGAATCTGATGTCCCGAGTTTGATTCATGGAACCTGTGTGATGGAGGAGAGAACTAACCCCCACAAAGGTTGTCCTCTGGCCTCCACACATAGATGAATAAAATGTAATACAAAATTTAAACCTAAAACTCTTTCTATGAAGAACACACAGCATGCCTGATCTCAACCTCTGTTCTTCACGCTCTCTCCTCCTTGCCCCATGTGAGGACACTGAGGTAGCCATCGGCAAGCCATGAAGGGAACTCTCAAAGAACCTGACCATACTGCCACCCTGAGACTTCTGCCTTGTTAGGGGAGGGGCGAGGAGCCAGGTGTGGTGGTGCATGCTTTTAATCCCAGGACTCAGGAGGCAGAGACAGGCTGGTATCGTAGTTTGAGGCCAGCCTGGTCTACAGAGTGAGTTCCAGTTCAGTCAGGATTACACAGTGAGACCCTGTCTAAAAAAATACAAAAAACAAAAAACAAAGCCTTTGAAAAAGGCATTTCAATTGCTCGTTGAGACTACCATTTCAAAGGGTAGTTACAGATAAAAGCACATTGTGCTGAGAACATTTTATAAAATGCCTGATGTTTTTCAACCCAAACAACCGCTCCTTATAACAAAAATGTTACAAAAAGTAAGGAAAGTTCATTGATATCCTGTAAGCAAATAGCAAAATTTTAGCAAGCACTTTTAGAAAATAGTTTATTACATCGCCAAGAAAAAAATCACAATATACAAAGATATTACAAAAGTAACACAATATTTTGTACAATAAAAGGCATCTTGACATTTTAAAAAATACTTCATCTTGATACAAAGCTTAACTTATTAGGTAACAGTATCTGAGAACTTTAAAAAAATAATTTCATCAGTGCCTTGAAATTAATTCATCATCAAGCATATAAAATAAGTTTCAAATGCAGACAGTTCAGTGGTAGAGCACTTGCCCAGCATGTATGAGACCCTGGGTTCAATTCCATTATGATGCTCCCCTTCCTTCCCCTCAAAAATCTAAGTATTTTAAACCAGGTGCAGTGTGGTGGCATATGCCTACAATCCCAGTACTCGGAGGGGAGAGGCAGGCAGTTTCACTATTTTGTTGGGCTCTATTAACCATGGCCAACGGTATTTTAATATTCTTTGAGGTCTCCCATGTTGCCCAGGCTGATCTTGAAGTCCTACCTGAAGCAAACCTCCTGCCTCAGCCTTCCAAGTGTTGAAGCAACAGGCATGAGTCACCATGGCTGGTTCACTAAGAGCAGTGAAGTCTAGTGAAGACCGAATGTCATACAGATACTCCGAAGTACTCCAACCTTACCCTACTCCATCTCATGGGAAGTTATATTTTGGTTAAAAAAGCTTAAGAAGAAAATGACACAAGATGAATCTGGTATTTTAACAAAAGTTTAAATATTTGCTAACAGCCCTAAAAACTCAGTTTGTTATGTTACTGTGAAGTCTAAATATTCAATGAATTTTGTTTGTGATTCTTTAAAGTTCCAAAAGCTTAAAAAATAAACACAACAACAACCAAGAAGTTGTTTGGGAGGCAGAAGCAGATAGGCTTCTGTGAGTTCCAGGCCAGTCAGGGCTACAACAGGGTACCCTGTCTCAAAAAAAAAAAAAAAAAAAAGAGCAAACCAAAAGCCCATCTGCAGCCCTAGAGCCATGCTTAGAAGAGCATGGTTACTCGTTAAAAAGTTACATCTTGGCTATTAAAAAGATGGCGAGACACAATGCAGAGTACTCACCACTGTACTATCAATCCCAGCACTCAGGAGGCAGAGGCAGGCGAGTTCGAGGCCTGCCTTGTCTACAGAGTGAGTTCCAGGACAGCCAGAGCTACACAGAGAAACCCTGCTTCAAAAAACCAAAAATAAAATAAAAACAAAACAAAAACAAAAAGATGGTGACGACATGAGTGGGTTTTGGTCTTTTTGCACACGTGAAAAAAATTAGATATGATTATTTTTGAGATCCACTGTTGACCCTGAGCTGTAAATTCTGCCCTGGTGTTCAGTCCAGATCTTCATATGACTTTGTCTTGAAGGGATGACCCTGGATAAACATGAGAAGCTTTCATCCCTCATCCCTCAGCTGGGCTTCGGAGAGCAGCACGGACTTTGTCATACACAGGATACAAAAGCGTTCTAACCTCTTCTTTGCACATCCAGCCTCTGAAAACAAACCTGACACCTTGCAGAGGCAGCTTCATAAAAGTCAAAACACTCCCAATGAAAAGCTCAACTTTTACAAAGAAATCAAGAGTCACAAAATTTCAAAAGTAAAGCCAATAACTGATATTTCCCTCAATGAGTACTCTGAAAGAGTAAGGCCCAAAGAAGTTTCTCCACATCTGGCAATGTAGACGTTAGTCTAAAGAGAGTCCCATATCATAGTTCTCATGAAGGACTTACTCCCTGGTGATTTCTCTGCTGGGCATTGCTGACTAGGAGTGTCTGGATAGTAGACTAATCAGTGCCACATGAGATACACAGCTGTTGGTTGTTGTCTTTGACTCACACCTTGCAATTTACAGTGTTTCTTCCCAGACATTAGTTAGTACAAAACACACCCTGGGAAAGACCGGTTTTTGTTTCTCTGGGGGTGGGCACTGAATCTAGGGCTGTGCATGCTAGGTGCTCTACCAGTGAACTACACCCTAGCACCTTTTTTTCCACTATATATGTTGAGATAGGAGCTCACAAGTTTGTTCTCTTGAACTGGGTCAGCAGACCAGGCAGGCCTTGAACTTGTGATCCTTCTGCCTGAGTATCTGGGATTACAGGCCCGTAACTCCAGACTCATCTAGGCTAACTGACTAAAAACAGTCTCTCTTCTTTATATTTTTCCATGTTGTCTGATATTGTATGATAATTTTTCAATATATCAATCTATAATTAAAATGTAATGTGGTACAAGTAGACAGCCTGTATCACCAATTCTAAGTCTCACCATGAAAAATATAGATTTTCTGAGGCTGTTGAAACATGCTGAAGCATATTAAGACAAACTGACAACCAGTTACTCTGTCCACTAGACTTTTTAGTAGGGACTCAATTAGCAAAGTAAAGGCTGTTGGGATAGTAAGTCAGCAGGCTCTGATGACAAGAACCAGGATAGTGGTTTGGAGATGCTGATGAGAGCCTGGGGTCCCAAACATCGTGGCTACATGGTTTTTACATAAGTTACAATTCTTCAAGCTATACCTTAAAGTTTGTCCATGTTTATTTGGTTGACTGTATGTGTGATTCCTCATAAGAAAAGAAACATAGCTTTGAGAACAGGAGATGAATCTCATTCACCTCTGATCTTCTACACAGAACATGGTATACTGTACAATATGCAGTTACAAAATGTCATATGATTTATTACATGAATACTGGCTGCTGACATGTCTGTGCAGGGTAAACTATCAAGGGGTAGGTATCTCAGGGGTACTTGAAATTTCACCTGCCACATACAGAGGCAGAATTTCTCCTCGATACTGCTGAAACTACAATTTCTAAGAAAGCTGCTTTGGGTCTCAAAGGGCCTCAGGGTGGTTTTTATACTTTTGTTTTGTAATTAATTGTGTTGTTGTTGTTGCAGTTCTGGGTATCAAACACAGGGCTGTGCTCTCCCATGAAACTATGTGCCAGTCTTTGCATAGGTTTTAAGAAGAAGGAGATGGCTGGCCAGAAGAGAAGTGTGCCTCAGAAGACAGGTCGCCTTGGCACCATGACGTCTTGGCACCTGTGGAGTTAAGCACCTTTCCCATTAAACCTGTGTTCTTAAATACTGGTTTATAATCCTCCCTCGCTCTAACAAACAGCTGTCGTTTACTCCGCACCGGTTATGCCAGAGTCTCTGTCAAGTGCTCGAGTCCCAGATATGCTGCACCTCAGCTGTGGCACCGCGCCCAAACCCTGCCGAGAAGCCAGCTGCTACAAGTAAATGTCAGGAGCAGAGACAGAGCGGGTTACATACACGGAGAGGAGACCGAGGGAGAGAAGCAACACGCTCCGATACAAAGTCCAAGAGGAGCGGGCTATTACACCTTGAACATACGGAAAAGATACCCACCGGAGAGAAAGAAGCACGACCTCTGCAGTAATGGAAGGGACAGATGAAGAGACTTTTAGTAGGCAGACTCAAAAGGACTATGAATGAATTGAGGAAGACAATCGAAGATGACTTTGAGGTTTCTATTAAATATCTCTGGTGACAGCAGCAATGCCAGCAGGAAAGCAGAGTGTGAGAGAAGGCAGTTTACATGAGCACTCAGACAGCAGGGAGAAAGCCGACCTGCGGTACAGATGAGAGCTGGGGTTAGGAATGAGCGGATCCTGCCATCACAGAACACCTGGTCAGTCAGAACAGGCTGTCGGCAGGTCAGATGAGGACCACCCATAAAGATCCGGACTTGACAAGGGGCAGGGTGAACTGAAGCCAGCGATGGACAGGTGAAGGAGGGACACAGGGGTGACGAGACAGGCTGCGGCACTTTACAGTGAAGTGGAAAGAAGGGACGTGACGCCAGTAGGGTTGCAGTGCTTTGGGGGGTGTTTTCAGCCTTTCCTTTTAAGCTCAAGAAGATACTTATTCTGGAACTAAGTGGGATAGGAGGACACTGGGAACAGGGCAAGATGTAGTGCACAAGGTGGAGTTTGAGAAGGAGGGTGAAATACAAATGCACCTAGGGAGAAAGGGAAATGTGGTTAAATGCACTGTAAGTTATAAAATGAGTTCTGTGATCAGTAAACAGCACCCAGAAATAAAACATCCTTTGAAAATCCTCTAAACACAGGTGTAGACACACCTTAGTTCAGCTTAGAGGAAAAACTGCGAACAAGCTTTTCAATGTGTGGGGAACATCTGCTGAGCTCTCTAATGGCTGTGTCTGAGTTTATCAATGCCAACTAATACAAAATTACAGCAACTAGTCTGATCTGAGCTTGAAGCTCAATTGGTACAATGCTTCTCCACGCAAACCCTGTCACCGACGCCAGAACCACGTAAACCTGGTGTGGTGGTGCACACTTGTAATCCCGGCACTCCCGAGGTAGGAGGAGGATCCGAAGATCAAGGTCATCTTTGGCTATATAGCAAGTTTGAGGCCAGCCTGAACGACATGAAACCCTGTCTCAAACAAGAGTTCAAAAGAGGTGGTCAGCTTCGGATACACACCAAGGAAAGGCCTTCTGGATTTGCTGCTGCACTGACAGCTTTGGGAGACAAGAAGGAGGACAACAGCCAGGCTTGGCCTTGGTAACTAGAAGCCTGGTGTGACAGTCTCCAGAGCTGGTGAGGCCGAGGAAAAGCAAGTCGAGGGATAGAGTTCAAAACCCAGGCATCGATATATTGAGCTAAAACTTAAATTTATTTTGTTATTTTTTCTTTTTCCCTCTACAGGGGGTTGAACACAGGGCCTCGCAAATGTTAAGCAAGCTCTACCACTGAGTCACATCTTTAGCCTTTTCTATCGTTATACAGAGACAAAATTTTCATAAGCTGCCCAAGCTGGTATTGAACTTACTAAGTAGTCCAGGCAGGCCTTGAACTTGCAATATCAAGCAGGGAGATTATAGACATGGGCCAGAACATCTGGCTAGATTCCTGATAGAGAAGTAGACAGGATTTATAAGATTAAAGAGTATGAGGGCATCTAATAAAGAAAAGACTCAAGAAAATGTCTATACGGGCATATGGGCATAAAGCTAATTTCATAAGTAACTTTAGTGGTGTGAGTCTAAAAAATATAAGGACAAATCTTCCATATCTTGAAAACTCCCTTTAGTACTTACTCTCTCTCTCTCTCTCTCTCTCTCTCTCTCTCACACACACACACACACACACACACACACACCCTAAACGTACCAAGAAACCCCAGAAAACCCCTTAGGGGTCACTTTGGCCTATGGGCCTCAACAATAATGAGTTTATTTCCCAATGGCATAGCCATTACATGTTTTACCTTAAATCTGCTTGAAAGCAAATATCAATTCATTTAACTAATACATTAATACATTACAAAAGACACATAGCTTGTCTTGAGGAAATATGAAAGAACAATTCACGTCAAGCACATGTACTTTAGGCATCTTTCAAAGTAAGAAGCAGTTTCTACTTCTGAACCTTCGCTTTACAGTCTATACACCTAAAGTTTTATAGTCCTCTAGATTTAAGTCCTACAACTTATATTTAAAAAAAACTGTATGCAAAGGAATCACTCAACTGCTCACTTTGCAGAGTGTCAATACTTGAATATTGACTACTCTGAACAAAATTATGACTATTTGCATCATTTGATGGTCCGGGCTCATTTATCAGGCCATTTTCTACACAATTGAAGTTTGCTCTATCAAATGCATCTGACTGTGAAACAAAAACAGAATTAGAACTGGTGCCTGCTGACATACTGGCAGAAGACATCTGATGTAGTTGCCTCAGGTCTCTTTGGTCTAACCTTGAAGTACATGAGGGGTTTTCAAGATTGATGCTCACAAGTCTTGGATTATCAGTGTCCCCCATGTTATCACTGCTGGGTGTCATCACATTCACAGGGCGATTAGACAGCATGTTGACATCGGAAATACTATACAAGTCAGCTGGTGACATGGATGACGTTTCCATTCTAGCTAGGTCATCGGTATAAAGGCAAGCATTAGAAGCACTTATATCGCTCACACCAGGCTCTTCTAGGAATGGAAGGATACCTTGTGAATTGGAGGGGAGTGTTCCCACTGAGAAACTACTCAATGTATTTGTACTGACTGAGCGTGAGGTGGGGTGGGTCACTGATGACCAGCTTGTAGGTGGAGACACCACTGAGGCTATGGCTGGTGGGTGATGTGGTAATCCACTTGAGAGGGACACAGATGACGAATAGTAGGGTTCAGCTTGACTTGAAACTCCTGAAGACCTGGGCATTTCTGGTAAAACTGTACCATGAGAAAAGAAGTTTGATTCTGTAGAAGAAAAATGTATTTTATAAATTAAGATGAACAAATTAATGTAAAGCATTATTTCTGAATTTAAATTACAAAAACACACTAAAAATTTTCTAAGGAACTGATACATTTCAAATAAAAAAATTAAAGCACAAAAATTATTATATGAATTCAAAACTAAATTCAGTAACATGTAAATTGCTTTATAAATACATGAAAAATGATTTTTATGTTATTTTGTTTTTTTGTAATTTTCTTCCCGTAAAATATGAAAAATCTAGCTTCTTGAGCCATAGAGATACATTTTTAAAATATAGAAGATAAATATTGCAATTTCAGTTAACAGGTATCCAACAGTCCAAATCATGTTATGGTCTCTACTTTTAGGATAAAATGGAGAGATGGAGAAGACATTCATTAGGGAAAACTGAAAAATACAGTTTTTAAGACTTATTAGGATATGACCCTAAGGTAGTACAAAATCTCCTATCATAAAAAACTATATTTATTGACATATTACACAAGTACTACATAGACCAGGATAAAGTATCAATTTAAGGAAAGAAGATGGAAAACTTGTCAGGGGCTCATAAAATATCTTCTATCAAAGGCTGGACAGTTTTAAGATTGATGGGGTGAGCAATCTCTGCTGGAACTATTCCCCTCTGCTGCTGTAGTAGGAGTCCAGGTCTGGAGTGGACTGGGCATGACAGCAAGTGGTCAGCATGCCTGCAGCACTGATGGGTGATGTCCTTCTGTATGCTGTGAATATGTGCTGCTCTGATTGGTTGATAAAGTGGTTTGGCCAATGGTGAGGCAGAATAGGGTGAGGTGGGGCACTCCAACCAGAGTGAGAGGAAGGAGAAAGACAGAGCAGAGGAGACGCTGCCACTGCCGCCAGAAGAACAAGATGGAAAGTACTGGTAAGCCACAAGCCACGTGGCAAAGTACAGATTTATAGAAATGGGTTAATTTAAGATATAAGAGCTAGCTAGTCAGAAGCCTGCCATGGCCGTAGTTTAAAAATAATATAAGCCTGTGTGTGTTTACTTGGGTCTGAGCGGTTGTGGGACCAGGCAGGACACAGCAATTTTGTAAGTGGCTGTGGAACCTTGGTGCCGAGCGAGCACAGGAAAACTTTCAGTACACAGCACCATTTTAAAAAGGTAGCGAGAGACACTATGCAACCAAAGGAGCACAGCCGTGTTCCAGCGAAATTGTTATAAACAAATGCCTACCATTATCCACATCATTTCTTCCATGACATAATACGATTACTAAAATTACCAGTTGTGGTAGTTTGAATAGATATGGCCTCATAGACTCATATGTTTGAATACTTGGCCCATAGTACTATTAAGAGGTGTGGATTTGTTGGAGTAGGTGTGGCCTTGTTGGAGGAAGTGTGTCACTGTGGAGGTGAGCTTTGAGGTCATATATGCTCAAGCTAGCCCAGTGTGACACACAGGTGCTTCTGCTGCCTGTGGATCAACATGTAGAACTCTTGGTTCCCTCTCCAGCACCGTGTCTGCCTGCCTGCCACCATGAAGATAATACTAAACCTCTGAAACTGTAAGTCAGCCCCAATCAAATGGTTTGCTTTATAAGAGTTGCTGTGGTCATGGTGTCTCTTCACAGCAATAGAAAGAAACCCTAACTAAGAAGACACTATGTATGAACAAAATGTATTTTCTTGAACAAATAAAAATCCCCAAAATATAATCAATTTCCAACATAACTTTCAGAGGCACAGACTAGCTCAATTCAATACCAAAAGCATGAGAAAATTTGTAGGAAAGAAAAATATTTAAAAAGTATTTGTTCCTAAAAAGTGGAATAACAGTATTTAATAGGGATAAAATACCTTTTTTAATGAATCTTCCTTCTCCAACTGGTCCCACGGAAACATTTCTTGGTCTCTCAGGAAAGTTAGCTGCTATGATAAAGTTTTTCTATTATTAAATGTAACTTGAAAAAATAGTTTATAATTAAAATTTTAAAAACAGAATAAATAAAACAAATCAAATTAAATAAAAATTAATCCAAAGTATTCTCACCACAATCTTGTAGCAGTTTCTGAAAAAGTAGAGTTGTTTTTTGTCTCTTTGATTTATTGCCATATGCATCTGATTAAAAAAGAAAGCAGGAAAACAGTAAGTTGTCGTGGGTTCTGCCCCCTCCATCGTGAGTAGACACATTATCAACATATGGAAACACTTCAAATACATGTGAATAGTATAGAACTGTAAGTACATTATTGTACAATATATCCCATATCAGTTGTAAAGGACACTTTTAATTTTAAAAAAAAGCAGCTGAAAATAATAATTTTTCACCCTAAAAACACCTATAAGTCAACACGAACTAATGAAATAAGGTCTGATAATAAGTAGTCCAAAACAGATACCAATTTCTAATTAACAAACTTTCTACCTATAAAAAGGCACAGTAAGTACAAAATGTAAATCCAAAAATACGAATACTGAGAGAAAATACGATCCAACAGTTCAAGATATCTCAAATTATTCCAATCCTCTTGAGAAATGCAAAGAGCATGAAAAAAATCCAAAGACAAAGACACACAACTGAACAGTTCTAGGAAAAGGAAATATCAATTATGAATATATAAAACCGCACTCAAATGCTTAGTTCACATTGTCACTGGGATGATCAGCTTGAGACAATGATCTGTTCTGAGCCAAGACTGTAGCTCGGGGGTGGGGGCGGGGCAGCACTTGCTGGTGTGGGACAACCCTGCATCCAACCTACGTCACATTTAAAGGGGGGACATGACAGTGGCACTCGTCTGTAATCCCAACAGTCAGGAGGTGGAGGCAGGAAGACCACTCATCCTTAGCTACACAGGGAGTTCCCATGCACACACACACACTGACATACGTGTGTGTATGCATCACCACCACCACCATGTCATACCTTTTTCATCTGGCAGGTATCTGAAATCCATAGACTCACTGACTTCCTGGTCAGAAGGTCTCCGCAGCTGCATTCTCACTGTCACGGGCTCCAGTATAGCTTTGCAATATGGAGGCGTCTTGAAAACAATGGCTACTTGGCGGTGTACGTCAGCTTGTGAGAAAATACCTTTAGCTTCCCAGTCATTCAACACAAAACGAACTTCTATGTCATCTAGTGAATAAGAAGCCAAAGAATAATAACAATGGGGAAACAAGTAAAATAGGTGTATCAATCAAAAGTAGAAGACTAATTCAATGGGACAAAACTGATAAATACCTTTCTGAACTTTGTCACAAAGCAGAAATATTTCATCTCCTCCCCTCACACTTCCACAGTTCTTGTTTACACGACAAATCCTTAATTCTGCAGTATTTGGGGCACCTAAATATAAAGGATTTAAAAAAAAATAGGTCTCAGTATTGTCTTAATATGTTGCTATTGCTGTGATGAAACACCAAGACCAAAAGCAACTTGGGGAGGAAAGGGTGTATTTCACTCACACTTCCATATAACAGTTCATCAATAAAAGCAGTGAGGGCAGGACCCTGGAGGCAGGAGCTGATGCAGAGGCTGTGGAGGAGTGCTGCTTACTGGTGTGTTCCCCATGGCTTGCTCAGCCTGCTTTCTTATGGAACCCAGAACCACTAGCCCAGGGTTGGCTCTACCCACAACGGGCTGGGCTCTCCTGCATCGATCACTAATTAAGAAAATGCCCCAAAGCTTTGCCTACAGCCAGATCTGAAGGAGGCAATCTCTCAACTGAAACTCTCTGATGACTCTAGCTTGTGTCAAGTTGACATAAAATTAGCCAGTACAAGTATTATATTTTATTATGGTGTAAGAGGAAGAATTTGAGGAAAATAATTTAGAGACAAGATAAAAATTTTAATGTACAGATAAAGAAAACTAAATATTTTTGTGTGTATTATATGTGTGTTGAGGTGTGTCTGAGTGTAGGTGTGTGTGAGCACAGGTAACCATGTGCCACAGCACGTGTGTGGAGGCCAGAGAACAATCTAAGATGCTTGCTAGTCCTCCATTTCCACCTCTTTTGAGACAGTCTCATTGTTTTATGCAGCTATGTATACCAGGCTAGCTGGCCTTTGAATTTGAGCAATTCTCCTGTCTCTGCCTCCCAATTCTTGGTAAGGGCACACTGTGACTTGTCTTTTTATATCATTAGCTATATCCCTAGGGCAAAGCAATTTTCATTTATCTGCCCACTATTATTATGATAGTCCTCCAAGGCACCCAAGGCTCTCTGATAAGAATAATCTACCCCTATGCTCCTATGGACCAGTATTCTACATGCAAAACAGGTGTAGCACACACCACTGGTGTGTGAGTGTGTGTGTGTATATGTGTGTGTGCACAAAATATTCTGGAGGACAGTTTTATAATCTTTTCAGATAAACTTCTATATCCTCTGATGGAGTGTTTGTCAAAATTTATGCTTCTGAAAATAGATGCCAGAAATATCTGCGTAAGATAAGGACATTGAGGAGCCAGAGAGGCAGTTCAGTGGGAAAAGGTGCCTGCTGCTGCAAGCCTGACCACCTGAGTTTGGTCCCGGGGAGCACATGGGGGGAGGAGAGAACCAAGTCCTGCAAGTTGTCTTCTCACCTCCATGTACACATGAACACACACACACACACACACACACACACACACACACACACACACATAGATGATAGATGATATATATCTATATATTATATGTCTTTAAAATGCACACATAAACATATATATTTCATTATAATTTGTTTACAAAAAGAAAAAGAGAAGGAACTGAACCAAATACTCTTTAACTGGGTAATGATTTCTTAAAATTAATATATAGCCATATAAAAAATATGCTGCCGGAAAAGGTGGCACATGCCTTTAATCCCAGCACTTGGACGGCAGAGGCAGGCAGATAGATCACCACATCTGGCTTCTTTTTGTTTCTTGAGACAAGGTCTCACTGTGTAACCCATAATGCCTTCAAACTTTATCCTCTTACTCAGACTTCTGATTGCTAGAATTACATACACAGCCACCATACCTGCCTAACATACTCCTTTTCTAATTAAGAAAATACTTCAAATTTTTAACAGCTAAGGAATGACAAGCCAAGAGCACAGACGTGAGAGAACTAGAGCACTTACGGTTGTCATAGATCGGGTTGGAAACAACGGGGGGAAGAGCAGTCGTCAAGTTACCGTGCTCGTCAGGAAGGAACACTTGAAAGCACAGCCTCACCACATTCAGGTCGCAGTCTTCAATGTCCAGCAGCTGCTGTTCAGGGACTGAACAGCACAACGTGATTTTTAGAATGTCGGACAGTTACGTGATACAAAGTCCTGTTCTTTCTCTCTGCCCATAATGTCCAATAACCTCAAGCAGCACTGAAATCTGCACAAAGCTAGGGTGGTACACGTCTCAGAGCAGCTTTCCTATCACACAGTCACTATCTAACAGCACATGCTACAGACAGCCATGCTCAGGGAGGAACTAGGTCAGGAACCTGGAACCTAAGGGCAGAATCACAAACCGACAACCACAAATTAAAAATCTTAATTCTGGAAACAGGTTATAGACCCCAGGAAATAGGCATTCTTCATTTAACATAGTATTTGGCCCGGTCTGTAATCACCTTCTAAATTTGGCAAGAATCATCATCCCTGTTTTCACAGGTAAGACATTGATTTAAAGAGAGGAAATTATTTGTCCAAAATTTCATAGCTAAATGGTAGAGTGAACTTTGAACCAGAGGGCCATACTAACTGTACACCAATGCTTTAGAGATGAAATGTAAAGAAGATATCAGATGGTGTAAGCTTTTAAGAAACTTTATGTGTAAGTCAAGTTTGCTTAAAAACAAACAAAATGTACCACAGGGCATTTTTATAGTTGTGAAAAAAATAAAAACTTGTCATAGAATACAGTACAAGAACAGCTTGTTTACATTGATCTTGAAAAGAAACCCTCTAATCCCAGCACTCGGGAGGCAGAGGCAGGCGGATCTCTGTGAGTTCGAGGTCAGCCTGGACTACAGAGTAAGTTCCAGGAAAGGTGCAAAGCTACACAGAGAAACCCTGTCTCAAAAAAACCAAAAAAAAAAAGAAAAAAAGAAAAGAAACCCATTTCTAAAATAAAATATTGCTGCCTTTGAAATAATATTTTAAACCTATAGCAATAAACTGTTACTAATATATGCCATATTTTAAAAGCATGATATTTGTTAAATTATGTGAAAAATTTACTTGGAAAGTAGATTAGTATTAAAATTAAAATACTAAATGTGAAAAACAATTAGCCAAATTCCCCAGTCTTATAGGGAACAACCAATAAAAAACATATTTCACACAATGCCAGTCAGTCAGTCTCAGGAGTTACCCTGACACTGAAATGTACTCCAGTATCAGCATTCTTAAGCCTAACCTTTGAGTCTATAAAAACATGTCTGCACAACTAGAAAGGTCAAAGTCGGCTGAGAGAGATGATTCTGTCGGCAAAGTGGCAAAGTTCTGCAAGCACAAGGTCCTGAGTTCGACTCCCAAACCATGTACAAAAGCCAGGTGCAGTACTGAGGTTTATAATGCTAGTGCAGGGAAGGCAGAGCCGGTGGACCCTCGCAGACTTGCCAAGCTCTAAGCCAGTGAGAAGCCCTGTTTCAGAAAAGACAATGCCTGAGGAACAGCATCTGAAGCTGTCCTCTGACTCCATACCATGTACCTTCTCCCACAGTTAAGAAAAAAAGGGGGGAGTCAAAATTTTATTTTTAGAATACAGAAGTTACCTAACACTAACATGGTTTTTAACCATGTTTCTTTCCCATCTGTGGCACAACATGATTAAAAACTACTGACATCAGGAATCATAAGTGATATCAGGATTCCGAGTAAAGGCTGAAAACTCAACTAATAACTGCTTTGTGTTGTACATGGCTGTGTGTGAAAAAGCACACATGTGGAGGACAGAGATCAATACTGGGTGTCTTATTTACTTGTCGTCACTTGATTTTTTTGAGACAGGGTCTTTCACTGAACCTCCAGCCCCAGAAATCCCCCTGTAGCCACCTCCCCAGTGTTGGGAGTACCTGGCTGTTTTCAAACGGGCACTAGGAATGACACTCAGGTCTTCATGCTCGGCAACAAGCACTTACTTACAGAGCCCTATTCCCAGCCCTGAGCTAATTCTACAAAGTCTCATTCTGGACTAGAAGAAACATCCCTTTTCTCTAAATCAGTGCAGCACTAGATCTGAACTTGGGTTTTTATCTTACGTGATCATCATTTACATGTGCTGCTTCTATCCTATTAATAAGGCAAAGTTTTATGAGCTCAGAATGGGTGTCACATCTTTGTATTTTCACTAAACATTGAAGATAAAAGTTTACATATAATGGGTATTCATTACATTTCTTCAATTAATAAGTGACTAATGGCTCAAATAGAATACAAGGTTATCCGCAGCTACATAGTGAGTTTGAGGATGCAATCTCAAGTAGCCATGTGTGCTCCACCATGCCTAGACCCACAAAACTATTTAAGCAGCTACACAGGACTTTAGGATGAAGACTTTTTTCAAGTAAGCATTACTGCATCCACTCTGGCAATCATTTATCTGTTTAACAATATAGAATGCTAAGAGGTACCAGATGCCATACCCAAATAGTGTCATAAACAATAAACAATAAATGCTTGGGAGCAGGGAAAGCAGCTCAGCTGGCAGAGTGCTTGTTTAGTACACAACGAAACCTTGACTTCAGTCCCTAGCAATGCATAACCAAGTGTGACGATGACCCCAGTACTGAGATGTGGAGGCAGGAGGATCAGAAAATGCAAGTCATTCTTGGCTATACAGTGAGTTTGAGACCAGTCCGAAATTCTCGAGACCCTGTCTCAAAAACAAAAACAAAAACAACAAAAAAGAACAAATGCTTAAACTGGGCATGGTATTAGGTGCCTATAATTCCAGCAGGAGGGAGACTTGAGAGAAGAGGATAGATATGGCATCGACGTCAGTCTGTGTTATATGGTAAAGCCCTGTCCCCAAAACAATAAGTTAAAAATAAAATGGTTACTAAGTGTTATTACCAATAAAATGTGCTAAACAGCAAGACATATTTTGTCAATACAAAAAGTAATACAAAATATTTTGAAGGGCTAGAGAGATGCCTCAGTGCTTAAGAGTACTTATTGCTCTTGCAGAGGACCTGGGTTTGGTTCCCAGCACCCACATAATGACTCACAACCATCTGCAACTCAAGTCCCAGGGGATCCGATACCCTCTTCTGACCTTCAAGAGTACCAGGTACACATGTGGTGCATGTATACACATGCAGGCAAAACATTCATACACAGAAAAACTAAAGAAGTCTAACAAATATTCTCAGTGGCCAGGTATGGTGTTGCATGCCTATAATGAATGACAGAACTTGGGAGGCAGAGGCAGGGACAAGGGCAGCCTCAGCAAAATAGTAATTCAAGTCAGCTGGGCCTTATGAGATTCCTATTAAAAGACAGCTGTGGGAGACCGAGGGAAGAAAGTCCATGGTGCCTATTCAGCTCTCAGAGAGAAGAGTGAGGACTGTTTGCTGGACCGTGCATAAGGGAGAAGCACATTCAAAGAGAACAAATCAGAACACCTGGAGAAGGCTTTCGTTTTCCTTTTGTTTTAACCAGGCATGATGGCTCACACCTACAGTGCAAGCTTGGGACGCTTATAAGGGAGGACTGCTGGGAGTTCAAGGTCAGTCTGCCATATGTAGTAACAGACCAGTCAGAGCTACAAAGGAAGATCTTATGTCAGAATAAACAATAAGAAAGGGGAGGGGAGGCTTCCTCAAAGAAAACAAAGACACTGTCTACTTAAATCCACGTGATTCCTCAGGTACAAATATAAGTCAACAAGTAGAATTATAATATAATAGAAATCACAGTCCATCGATATCTAAATAGTAGAAATTATAACAAAATACTTACCATTGAAAGGGTTGATTCCTGCACTTATTCTTAAAATAATAGCTTCTTTCACCTCTTTTTTCTTTACACACCGAATACCCAAATTTTGAAAACTAAAAGCAAAAAAATGAAACTTTCAAAACCACATCATAGTTAAACAAAAATATGACAGAAATCAAACATACTCAACACCGAGAAGTCACCTTCCTGTCAAATCCAGCTACTAGATCATGAGTCCTATTTCTAATTGTGATAATGAAGATACAAGAGTAATGAAAAGTAGAACTGTCTAAGAGAATTGTTCATAGAAAAACAGGGCACATGGTGGCACACGCCTTTAGTCCCAGCACTAGGTGGAGGCAAGTGGATCATCCTTAGTTACCTAGCAAGTTTGAGGCTAGCCTAGACTATGGGAAACCCTGTCTCAAAAGACAAAACCAAAGAAGTATATATAGTACTGTATCACTTTAAATATACTGTTTTATATCTTACCAATATGCCTAGTCAAATATACCAAGGTACACAAACATTAAAAAAAATCAAAAAGCAAAATTTCACCTTCCAAACAAATTCATGATCAATTCTCTAAAATTTGTGTATCAAGAGGTGCAAAGACAGCCAGACCCTGAAATTGGAAGGTATGTTTTGCTCCTAGAGCAGTGTTAAACTATATTTTTAAAAGATGATATAGGAGTGGCTACTGCATTAAAAAAACTGTATACATTCTGGAACTTAAAAGTCAAATAATTAGAGATGAACATCAGTATTCCTGGCTTCGTGAACATTTTAGAGGTTTGGCAGCATCCGGGCACAGGGACAGTTGGGTAGAGATAAGCACCTGGGCTCCATTTATGTACAGTTCTTCATTCTAATGAGAGACCTGGCTGGCCTTCTTATATTTGACTCCTCTGTCCTTTATGCTGCCTCCCTAGCTCATCACTGAAAAGTGTATCATTAAATATACCAAGTCACAGCAAGCAGCTCTACAGTGTCTTGCTGTGTACTCTAGGCTGGCCTCAAGGTTTTTCAGATTATAGAATACACTTTATGCCATGTTATAGGATTACAATAAAAGGAGTAAAGTGGTTTTTGTTAGAGAGCTTTAATACTAACAATATTTAGCAACAGTTTAAAAGGTCATTTATGGAAAACTCCTCAATAGCTACAAATATTACTCATTTGCATATGTGTAATACAGATGATGGTGGGGGAACTCCCCTACCACCCCCCAGTCATACGTGTTCCCACATGGAAAAACCATGACATCATTTGAGATGGGTGGGTGTGAATAAGGAAGCAAAACTCAACGATAAGAACGTCTTATTTCTCCACGTTTGGCCCTGGAGCTCCCTGGTCCACCCGACCCCACACTCATGCTGCCTTTACGTTCATGCTTCATGCTTGGCACTCACACCTGTGGCTTCAATCAGCACCTAAAATAACTCGGCCATTTCCTTCCTCCAATAACAAAAAATAAATAAGTTATGAATTCTTAATCCTTTCTTGAAATCCTGTAACAAAATAATTCTTTCTCAAAAAGAAAGATTGAAAGAGTCTTCGTGTGTTTTTTCAGTTTTTCTCTAATAAAAGGTTTAAAAGAATTCTTCACTCTAATATACACTACTTGGTTTTGTTTCATTTGAATAATCCCATCTGCTATGCACAGAATATTAAAAGTAATGGGGGTGTTAACTCAGGAGTATAGTACTTGTCTAGTTCATGACACCCTGGGATCAACCCCAACACTAGAAGAAAGAAGAGAATGAAGAAAAAACTGTGACTTAAGGAAATCAAGGACCATTAGGGTATTTGGTTCATTCTCCCATTTACTCCTTCACAGTTATTCAACACATTCTGGAGTTCCAGCTGTGCATTAAAACTCCAGAAAGGAATGGAGATGTACAATATCTCCTCCTTTCATGGAACCTTAGTGTCTGGATGCGGGATTGGCAAACTCTAATTCATGGGCCAAATTCAGCATACAGCTGTTTTTGCAAATAAAGTTAGAATTGAAACACAAACATGTTCATACACTCACATATCATCTGTGGCTGCTTTCCTGCAGCAATAGCAGGGCTGAGTAGGACACAGAGTCCAAATGGCTTATAAAGCCTATGATACTACTAGCCATTTACAGAAAAAACCCTGCCAGCTCAAGTCTGGGGAACTACTAAATAATCACATGCAAAAAACCACTCAACTGAATCATAACAAGTTTTATGAAGGTAAACATAATTTTTAGAAAGGAGCATATAACGGGATCAATTCAAGGTGAGCAGGCAGGCTTCCTGTGGGAAGTGATAATGTGAACTGAACTAGGAAGACGAAAGGAACAGATCATGAAAAGAGCACTTTGAGCAGAGGAAACTAAGAATCCTCTCAGGACTGCAATGTAAGATCTGAGGTGCACGCCTTTAATCCCAGCACTCAAGAGGCAGTGGCAGACGGATCTCTGAGTTCAAGGACAGCCAGGGCTACACAGAGAAACCCTGTCTTGAAATACTCTCCCAGCCCCCCCAAAAAAGATTAGAGACACAGAGATGAAAACACAGGGGCCATATGAAGAACAGCCAGAAAACTAAATGAAAACAAGCTGTCTTCACAGAAGTCAGAAAGAGTATTTCAAGACACCAACGGCTGAAAGTTTAAACACTGCTGGAAGTTCAAGTGATGCAGGCAGTAAGATTTTTGTCAAATGCACATGTTTGTGTTTTGTGTTATTACTATTAGTAAGAGGAACTTTTTGGGAGACAATGTCTTGCTGTGTACTCCACGCTGGCCTCAAATTTTTTCATAGATTATGTAGAATGAAGAGATAAATCACAACATAAAATATATTGTCTTTACTTTCAGTAATTATAAAGAAGTACCTATCTAAGCATGGTAATGCATGCTTACTTATAATGCCAATACTCTGGAGGCTGAGGCAGGAGGATCACTACAAGTTGGAAGCTAGGCTGAGCTACACAGTCAAAACTTAGAGGATAAGAAATGGTAGACATATAGCTCAGTTGTCAGATGGCTAGCCTAACGTTACAGCAGTCTGTCTTGCGTTCAGTCTGCATAAACTGAGGTGGTGTCTCACGGCTATGACCTCACACCTGTGCTCTCAGTACCCGGGACCTCTGGAAGGCCACCTGACTTATATAAACCCTGTCTCACAGCTATGACCTCACACCTGTGCTCTCAGTACCCGGGTCCTCTGGAAGGCCACCTGACTTATATAAACCCTGTCTTAAGAAAAAAATAAGAAGAACATAGACTTTTTTAAAGAAGTGATCCTGCTGAGCCAGATATGGTAGTGTAACCTGCAATCTCAGGATTTGGGAAGAGGAGGCAGGAAGAGAAGTTCAGATTCATTCTACACAGCAAGTTTGAGGCCAGCCTAGGCGACATGAGCTGTCTAAACCTCCGACTCTCAAAGAGTCTTCTGCTGACTATCGTGTGGTGCTGCTAATAAAAAAATGAAAGCACAGTTCTAATGCCAATGGTGAGGTGGCTCAGGGGCTAAAGGCATCTGCCATCACACCTGGAGACCGAAGTTCAATCTTCAGAGTCCATATGGTGGAGGAAAGAACCAACTCCACAAGTTGAAACAACTCAGACCTCCACATGCACCCACAGCAATGTGTGTCCCCCCACAGATGAAAAATAAAATTAAAATTTTAAATGTATACTAAATTAAATATGAAATTAATTTTGCTAAAAACTAAAATTATATCCTTGTCCCATTGCCTAAGATGTCTGTGACAGTATACTTACAACAGAGGTCTGCGTTCTGGTCCAAATTCTGCTTCATAGTAGCCATCTCTGCAGTCTTTCCCAACTAAATCATGAGGATGAGGCTTATATGGGTCATTCTTGGTTACTAATGTAATTCTTACTTTTCCTTTTCCATAATAGTTCATAATCTGGAAGGGGAAATTAATTGTACAATCCGTAAGTATATCTTGTTACGAACAGATCTATTAGATGGGTATTGTGGCATATACCTGTAATCTCAGCATTTGGAAGGCAGGATTGGTACAAGTTCAGTGCCAGCTATGGTTACAAACAATACTACCCTGTTTTAAAAGCAAACAAATATAAAGAGCTGATCCACTAAATTCAAGTTCAATTTATATAATGAAGTCAGCACTGAATAAAGTTCAAATATTCAGCAGCTCACTTGAGATTAAAGTTTCCAGAGAATATCATCAGGGAAAACTTACCTTCCAACTCCTGAAATGTTTCTTTCTGCCCTAATTTCATCTAGCTCTATCATCTGGTTATTTATTTTCCTTTTAAAATAGGTAAGCAGGCTGGGCATTGTGGTGCACGCCTTTAATCCTAGCACATTTGAGGCAGAGGCAGGCAGATCTCTGTGAGTTCGAGGCCAGACTGGTCTACAGAGCGAGGTCCAGGACAGCCAGGGCTACACAGAGAAACCCTGTCTCAAGAAATCAAACACAAAACAGGCAAGCTGGGTTGGGGATATTGCTCAGTTGACAGAATGCTTGCTAGCACGCCCAAGGCCCTGGGTTTGATTCCCAGCACCACATTAACCACACTCATGAAGTAGAGACAGCAACATTCAGAAGCTCAAGGTCTTCCTCAGCTGCATGGTTCGTTTGAGGCACCCTTGAGCTATATGAGATCCTGTCTCAAAAATCCTAAATAAGCCGGGCGGTGGTGGCGCACGCCTTTAATCCCAGCACTCGGGAGGCAGAGCCAGGCGGATCTTTGTGAGTTCGAGGCCAGCCTGGTCTACAGAGCGAGATCCAGGAAAGGCACAAAGCTACACAGAGAAACCCTGTCTCGAAAAACCAAAAAAAAAAAAAAAAAAAAAAAAAAATCCTAAATAAATCACATAAGTTGATACCTTTTTTTTTTTTTTTTTTTTTTTTTTTTTTTTTTGGTTTTTCAAGATGGGGTTTTTCTTTGTAGCCATGGCTGTTCTAGGACTCACTCTGTAGACCAGGGTGACCTTGAACTCAGAGATCCTCCTGCCTCTGCCTCCCAAGTGCTGGGATCACAGGTGTGTACCAACACCACCTGACAAGTTGACACATTTTTTCTTTTTAAATCATAGAGCACAAGGAAATACTTAGAGGTTAGGTTCTCAGTGCTTTGCTCTTAGTTACACCTGTCATACCATAAATATGCCTTGAAAACATAGTTAAGCCACACTGGAAATAACATCAAACAGATATGACCCAACTGCCTCTGTCTTCCGAGTTCTGGGATTAAAGACATGTACCACTGTGCCTGGCTGTTTTATATAGTTTATTCTTTGAAAGTTTCATACATTTATTTATACAGTTTATACTGATCATATCCACCTGCTACTATTTCCCTCTTTTTTTAAACAGAATAGTAATCAAAAAATATTTACTGCCTTCCTAGATAAAAGAGAGGTAATTACTCAAAACTACAAAACAGGCAGATGGAGAAAGAATTCAAGCTGTAAAGTGTTTAGGATATGTTGGAACAGAAGAGATACAAAATAATTTTGATGCCTACAGTAGTATGATTTAAGAAGAATTAGGGGCTGGTGAGATGGTGCTGCAGGTAAAGGCACTTGCCACCAAGAAGTGTAATCTCTGGATCTCACTAGTACACAGAGAGAACAGCCCTGTGAAGGGTCCTGTGACCTCTACATGTACACACCACACCACACACACACACACACACACACACACACACACACACACACACACACACAATGGGGGGGGACAGAGGGAGAGAGTCTAAAATAAAAATGTTCAAAAATTAAAACAAACAACAACAACAAGAACAGGGTCCTCTGAGGACACATGCCCATGGAAAAAGCAAGTGGCGAAGGAGGGAAAAGCAGGTTTGAAATCCCCCCTTGACTGCAGCCGCACTATAGAAGACAGAACCGTGGATGTTACTAGTGTCCAGCTGTTCCTCCAGGGAGAGTCAAGGTGACAGGAAAAGCTGGGAATCTTGGGAAGGCTGTGACCATCAAAAGGAGCAAGGGCAGGATCACTGTCTCCTCCCAGGTATCTGAACTATCTCACCAAACAGTCTCTGAAGAACAGGCCGCGGGACTGGCTGCTCATCTGGTTGCACCATCACTAACAGCAAAAAGAGCTCTCAGATGCTGCCTCCAGAGTAATGAGAACGAAGGGGAGCAGGAGACGGGGTCAAGACACATTGGTCTGGAATGTTTTGAATGAAGTCGTAAATAAAATTTAGGGACATTTTTTTAAAGAGGAGTTAAAATGACTCACAAGATTGGAAGAATAGAATTTTTAAGGTAACTTTTCACTACATCTCTTCCATTTGAATACTTAAAAGAACTTAGATAACCCAAATCCATACTGTTGCCAAAAAATGTGATTTAAAATCATGAAGTTAGGGGGCTGAAGTGATAGCTCAGCAACCAAGAGCACTTCCTGGTCTTCCATAGGACCAAAGTCCAGAGCCCAGCATCCATATCAGGCAGATCACAACTGCCCTTAAATTCAGCTTCAAGGGATCTGATGCCCTCTTCTGGCCTCTGTGGACCTCCACCCACATATGCATTTTCACAGATACATACACATCCATATATATCAATAAAATGTTATTTTAAATTCAATTTGTACAGTAGATGGGACAAAAAGCTCCAGGCACACATTATACAATATGGTGACTGTGTACTGTATATTTTTAAAAAGCTAGGAGGACTTGGAATATTTCCATAGGAATGATAAATGTTTGAGGAGCTAAGTATGTTTAACCTGATTTAAGAATTACAAAATGTATACATTATCAAACGTTATATGACATCCCATTAATATTATAATTTCAGCATCTACATATCAGTTAAAACAAAAACGAAAATTTGGAAATCAATATATAACTTGGCAATTTACTTTTTTTTAAACTTTGTAATTCTTCTTAGGTTAGATAAAATAAACTGTAAATAATCTAGTGATTTACAAAGCAGTGATTTCAGATCTAATGATGAAAGATTAAGAACCATTTTTCAAACTCCATTTTGAGATGATGTCTTGCTTTTATCTACACTGGTCTCTGGACCCAAGTAATCCTCCTACCACAGCCTCCCAACTAGATGGGATTTCAGTGGATGATACTGCCCCTGACTAGTTTTAAACTTTGTTTTCATTTATTTGTCGAGACAAGGTTTTAAAAGTCCAGATTGTCCTGGAACTTCTTATGTAGTCCAGGCAGTTCTCAAACTCAAGATCTACCTGTCTTTGCTTCCCAAATGCTTGGATTACAGGCATGTGCTACCACACCAACTCACTATTAAGCTTTTTAATTGGCATTTAAGTGATAAAAATCAGCCAGGCAGAATTGTACATGCCTATAATCCCAGCATGAAGGAAGCAGAGGCAAGAGGGAATATCACTACAAGTTTGGGGCTAGCCATACACACACACACCCCTTACACACACACACACCCTTTACACACACCCCTTACACACACAACCCTTACACACACCCCTTACACACACACACGCACACACACACACACACACACGCACACATACACCCTTTACACACACATACACCTTACACACACACACACCCCTTAAACACAGAGAGAAAAAAGTGATAATTTAGATGATGTCAATAACTCAAGAGTATTGGAAATATGCAATAAAGGTAAGGAAAAAGGAGGGAAAAAGTTTTCCTTATTAATAGCTCCAAGACTAAAAGATTGTTTAGCATATACAATAATTGTCCCTCACCACAATGGACAGAGAATGCTTTTTCCTCACTAGAACCTCTGTGTTTACAAAAGGGATCAGATCCGAAGCTGTCAGTGCACAGTCAGCCCCGTGAACCACCGCAGTTACATTAATACGTGAACTGTAGCAGGAAAGACTCCACATTTTTTAGAGACCTCCCTGCAAACCTAGTTAATGCAAAGCAAGTACAAAGAAAAAACACAGGGGTGGGAGCAAAAGACTGTGGAGGTAACTGTTAAGAAACCAAGCCTTCCACTGTGTGGTGGTGGCACACCCCTTTAATCCCAGCACTCGGGAGGCAGAGCCAGGCAGATCTCTGAGTTCAAAGCCAGCCTGGTCTACAGAGTGAGCTCCAGGACAGCCAGGACTACACAGAGAGACCCTGTCTTGAAACAAACAAAAAAGAAACTGAGCCTTTCATGTGACCGCCACAGTGAAACACGAGCCACCTAAAGGGAGACACTGGAGGAAGCCTGTTACCTGGATAGACGGGTATGTTCGGTTGTTGTCTGTGCTGTGCTCCCCAGGAATGCTGCCTGCTGATCGCCCTTCACATTTGTATCTAAACCGCATTCCCCTCTGTCTCGGCTGTTCAATTATTTCTACGTATGGATTATATCCTCCTGAAAAGTTTAAAAGGATCAGGGCAATGAGATTAGAATACATGGCAATACAATGGATTTTAATGACTTGGGTTTTACAAAACAAAGATCTTTTCCCTTCTCAACATTGAATAATGAAGTTCAAACATAGTCATCATAGATTAGACGAGAATAATACCTTTTCCTATACAAACTGAGCTCTAGGTAGTATTAACACACAGCTGATTAGTGCTTGCTTGCTTAATACCTATAAGCTAATGGCAGTAGTAAGTTCTGAGGAAACCACTTTAGAGTTATTGTCCACATGAGGCCAAGTAGAAGGGTCTTCTCCCAATATTTCCCAAGAAAGGTGAAGAAAATTGGATTCAGAAGTACATTATACTCCAAAACTGAGTAAAATGTGCTTCACTACTTTATTTTAAATTAGATTCTAAGTACATGAAAGGACATTCATTGAAAATTAAAATACACTTAAATCCTTGTATTTGCAAGTCTGGAATACCAAATGATATGTACACAATATACTAAACAAGTCCCAGAAGTGGAAAATTTAGGTTCAACTAAATTTTCACATCAGTTCCATCTGAACCTCCTCCAAAATGTAACATATAATGTGGGTAAAATAAAATAATTTACAGTGTCTTTTTTTTTTTTTTTTTTTTTTTGGTTTTTCGAGACAGGGTTTCTCTGTGTAGCTTTGCGCCTTTCCTGGGACTCACTTGGTAGCCCAGGCTGGCCTCGAACTCACAGAGATCCGCCTGGCTCTGCCTCCCGAGTGCTGGGATTAAAGGCGTGCGCCACCACCGCCCGGCTATACTAAAACAAGTCCCAGAAGTGACTTTAGGTTCAACTAAATTTTCACATCAGTTCCATCTGAACCTCCTCCAAAATGTAACATATAATGTGGGTAAAATAAAATGGTATTAGCCGGGCGGTGGTGGCGCACGCCTTTAATCCCAGCCCTCGGGAGGCAGAGGCAGGCGGATCTCTGTGAGTTCGAGGCCAGCCTGGTCTCCAAAGCGAGTTCCAGGAAAGGTGCAAAGCTACACAGAGAAACCCTGTCTCGAAAAACAAAAACAAAAACAAAAATAAAATAATTTACTTTCCATAACAAATGTAATTCAAAATATGTACCCTCAGGATAAAATACTGATACACACAGCTATCAACTAGTGTGTTGAGTGGAAGAAGCTAAACTAAAACAAGCACACACTATATGATCCACTTGTATGAGACTCTAGAATACGTAAGTCAGTCTACAATGAAATACAGCTGACTACCATTTATTTAAAACCAGCAGATGAGAAAGTTTAGAGGGTGGTGGACATGTTTATTTTTATTGTGTTAAGATATATATGTATATATGTGTAACATACATACATAAACACATTTATTTATTTATTTCCAAGTGTGGTGGACCAGGCCTTTAATCTTAGCTGTCTCAAAAGCAAAGGTAGGGTGATCTCTGTTCAAGACCAGCCTGATCTATATAGCAAGTTCCATGCCAGTCGGGATGGACAAAAAGATACAGTGACTCCCCTCAAAGTCCATCTTTGGGGTCCTAACATGAAGTTTAGGTTTAAATAGAGAATAAGAGTTATGCATAACAATAGTTAACCAGTCTTGGTCATAAAGAGAGCTTGTCTCAAAAATTAAAAATCAAAAAACTGAAAGTTTATATATAATTATTACCTTACAAATAATTAATTGTATATCAATAAAACTTTAAAAGCATATGCATCTTCATCCTTTTTATTAGCCAAATCATGAAATAAAAGTTCAAAAAAGACAACTGTGTTTACAAGTTAGGGTAGGTAACCACGTGCCTTTACTTTAAGAGTATAAATTCCCCAAATCACAAATCCATTTCATTAGGGCTTATTCTCTTAGAATGCAATCTTGAGAAATGGTGAGACAATGGATCTTTTAAATACAGTATGGGACAAGGTCTACACCACCCAGCTACTTCTGTCTTCTTTTCATTCTAGAATTTACTATGTAGGTCCAACTGACCATGGACTTGCAGTGATCCCCCTGCTTCTGTCTCCTGAATGCTATTCTTAAACAAAATAAGATCCAGCAAGAGTCCGGCAAGACCCTGTGTTAATTAAATCTTATTGTTAATGTACTCTGTAAAATATGTGTTAAATTCCTACCGAGTGTCACACACACAAGAGGCAGTCAATGAGCGGTTCTACTGTTACTTCGGATGCTCTCTTGAAGACAGTGGCATCACTATCATCACATCATCACTCTCATACTGCTACCCTAAAGGATGTCTGTCCCGCAGCGAGGCAAACATCACCACTATTAGTGCACAAAACGGGGGAAGGCACTAACAAAATTCTGCAGAAATTATAATAAGAACAAAAGAGGAATCGAACAGTTGAAGAGGGGGAAAATGTAACAAAACAAGAGTGAAAAGACATTCTAGAAAAGGGAAGTAATTGTCTATACAGGTGCATCAATCACCAATGGAAGTGGAATACAATTCCACTCTTAGAAAGAGAACTGAAAGTCCAAACACATTCAGTAATATGTATTCCTTTCCATATGTGGAAAGGAATCAATGCTTTTATTCAAGGAAATCACAAAATCAAATTAGTATACTAGAATAAGAATTCTGATAGTAGTGGATAGACTGAAGAAAAGAGAGAAAATAATCAGTTTAAAGATTACTTGTATATATATACATATATATATGATTTTCTCCTATAAATACATACATATAAAGAGATTAGCAACAACAAAATAGAGCAAATATGACAAACTTTTATAATGAGTTACTTAAAGTTTTAATTTATTTATGGAATTTTCCTTTTAATATTTTTGTGCTATAGTTAATTACAAATAAACGAACTAAGGAAAATGAAACCATAGATGAGTGTAGAGGGAGCTGGAGAGGTAGCTCAGTGGTTAAGAGCATTGGCTGTTCTTCCAAAGGACCCAGGTTCAATTCCTAGCACTCACATGACAGCGCACAACTGTCTGTAACTCCAGTTCCAGGGGATCTGGCATCCTCACACAGACATACATGCAGGCAAAACACCAATGCACAAAAAAATAAATAAAGTAAAAAAAAAAATACTGAGGAGCCTGGATAGTAAATGAAAAATGAGAACATGACAGCTCCTTGGTACAGTTGAGATACGTGTAGAGTACTGTCATATGAGCAACAATGCAAGGAGGTCTGAAATATGGCTATTATAAGAATAAAAGATTATTTAAAAAACACAGGAGTTTGGTACCTAAACATCAAAGACAAATAAATCATTGGTGCTATGGGCTGGGGAGACAGCTCAGTCAGAAAGTGCTTGCCATTCAAAGACAAGCTCCTGAGTTCAATCCCCAGTGCCCACATACAAAGCCAGGCATAGTAGTATACACCGGAAGCCCAGGGCAAGGGGAGGGGGGAGACAGGAGGAACCTTGGAGTTCACTGGCTAGCCAGCCTAGCCTAATGGTTGAGTACTAGGTACCAGTGAACACCCTGTCTCAACAAGATGAACAACTCCTGGAGAACCAAGATAATTAACACCCAAGGTAGTCTCTGGTGCACACATGCATACCTGAACACACACACACACACACACACACACACACACACAATCAATAAATATTTTATATATTTTAATTAAGACCTCTTGTTTTAAATCTATCACTCACTTGCTTATTCAAATGACAGAAAGCAGGCCAAAGACCTGGGTTCAATCCCAGTACTAACAAAAACAAAACAAAAAACCCCAAACAAACAAACAAAAAATCCAACGAGAGAGAGAGAGAGAGAGAGAGAGAGAGAGAGGAAATTTGATTTTAATTCAACCAAGTTCATAATAATTACAGAAAATATAAGCAAATGAATATTTCACAATTTATGCATCATTGTATACGTAATCTTTACATCTCAGTTTTAAATATTTCATACCTTGTATTCTTGTAAGACTATTGGAGAATGTGCATTTCTTTTCAATTGTGTTAAATTCAACATGATTTTTTTACAGTGGCATCTTAAAGAATTTATGTAGTTGAACTAAAAGGTCGAATAAATCCCAGCCACTACTTTTTAAAAGGTGTTTTGGTGGGAAATTGATACAGAATGACACCACTAAAATTAGCTGTTAACTTTTTTTAAGATGTAGAAAAAACACGGTGGAGTCATTTAACCAAGTTATACAAGTTACACATTTCTTTAAACCCGTGAGTGTATTTATGAAATTATGAAATACAAAGAAACATAAAGTTAGTTGTTGAAAAGATTATTTAAAAATATCTTAAAGAACCAGGCGGTGGTGGCACGTGCCTTTAATCCCAGCAGAGGCAGGCAGATTTCTGTAAATTCAAGGCCAGCCTGGTCAACAAAGCAAGTTCCAGGACAGGCTTCAAAGCTACACAGAGAAACCCTGTTTCAAACACACACACACACACACACACACACACACACACACACACACACACACACACACATCTTAAAAGTAGTAAGAATTACCTAAATATTGTCATGTAATATCATGTATTTATATTTATTTTTCCTCTTGTAGAATCTCTTCATTGAGCTGGATGGTGGTGGTGGTGCACTCCTTTAATCCCAGCACAGAGGCAGGTGGATCTCTGAGTTTGAGGCCAGCCAGGTCTACAGGGTGAGAGTTCCAGGAGAGCCAGGGCTACACAGAGAAACCCTGTCTTGAAAAACCAAAAACCAAACAAACAAAAAAAGAAACTCTTCATTAATAACAAGCCTCACTAAAAACCAACTTTCAGAATTTATAGTCTGATTTATACATTTCCCCCAGTAGGAAATAACTTTCCTTTCCTGTAAATCAATGGTTCTCAACCTTCCTAATGCTGTGATCCTTTAATATAGTTCCTCATGTTGTGGTGATCCCCCCGCAACCATAAAATTATTTTGTTGCTACTTCTTAACTGTAATTTTGCTATAATTATGAATCGTAATGTAAATATCTGATATGCAGGATATCTGATATGGGACCCCATAGGTTGAGAAACACTGCTATAAACCAACAA